TTTTTTAGTTAATGTGTTTCCACTGATTTAGTTCCCTGTTTCGGGTAATTGCTCCAGCTTCGGAGTATTTAAATTATTTATATTGATGAGTGCGCCCAAAAAAAAAGAAAGGAGATAATTTCGTATTTATTGTCCAAAAAAAAGGCGCTTTAGTAATTACAGGAATAGAACTTGGACAGAATGCATCAATTAATAAATAATTGACGCATTCTGTCCTAACAATATTATGTATATTTTTTTTTTTTTCCTTTAAATGTTAACTTAAGATTAAGTGTTTTTGATATTATCATTAATAGATTTATCTCAGTTGATAAATCTCTTTATATTGGTTATTAATTTTGATTCCATTAGGAAACTTTATCTTAGTTTTTATTATTATTATTATTATGGTGGACGGTAATTATTCCTCATGAATCTATTTTGGGCTCTGTTTTGAGGCCTATTTGTCTCTTTGAAAAGAATTTTTCTGTTTTCAAGTTTGGATATAAATTCATCTTCTTCGTGTATCCACCAGAAATTTTTATTTATTCTATAGAAGTCGATCATGTCGACTTCCGGAATATCTCTGGAGTACTTGAACCTTTCATTTTTGAGATTATGAATTAAAATTTTATTATTTTTTTTGTGCCTTGGGATGTGATATAAAATTGGTCTATTAATTTCATCTTGGAATAGACCGATTTTATCATACCACGTGAAATATTGAGGTTTGATATAACCATATGCTGCTCTATTAGTAGCTTCTTCTTTGTCTATGTTTGTGAAAGCATTAATAGTTTCGTTTTTTATGGATTTTAATTTTTGATAGTAATTTCTAGCTAGTTTTAAAATGAAATTATCGATCCTGGGAATTTTAGCTCGATTGTATAAAGTTATGTTGTTAACTTGCCGTTGATAATTTGAATGTTCAGAACGATATAAAAATAGTGATGTTCTGAGACATTTCCTCTCAAAGACTCTCAGGACTTCAGCTTGATGTGCGCCTAGATTCCATAGTATTTCGGCTCCATAAGTTAAGAGTGGTCTAATTAATAATAGATAACAGATTACTCTCGCTCTTGTATTTATAAATTTATTGTGGAAGAGAAAACCCAATGATTTGTATCTCTTCCTAGCTTTTTCAATCTGAATGTCTATATGGTCAGAGCATCTGGTTAATTCGTCTATGTTTATTCCGAGATATTTCACTATTTTTTTGTGTGGAATAATTATTTTACTATTATTTTCATTATTTGTTATTTTAATTTCGAAATTTTTTACAGTGTTTTTTTTCCGTGCAGACATGTTTCCAAAGGGATTTCTGAATAGAATTGATTCACTTTTGTCCGGGTTAACCCTGAGATTCCAGGCCGAATACATCGATATTACTTTATCGATTAAGGGATTTAATTTTTCACTAATTGCTTCTCCATCCTTACCAGAGATATAAATGATCCTATCATCGGCGTATGCGATGGAGTGTGTGTTGTTATTATTGTTTAATTCAAATGCGTTAATCATATGCGATGTGAATATCGAGAATAAACACGGGGAATTAATTGTGCCTTGTTGTAGGCCTTCTTTTATAACAAAAGTCGAACTCAAGGCATTGTTGTGATTGATCACTCTAAATTTTTTATCATGCGTCATGTTCCAAATAGTTCTAATTAAATGTATTGGAAATTCATATTTAATGAGAATATAGGTAAGGCCGTTCAACCAGACGGAGTCAAAGGCCTTCTCAAGGTCTAATAACACAGCGCCTACCATCTTATAATTGTAAAGTTGTTCATTTACGTCTGATAACAGTTTATTGACAGCGTGCAGAGTAGAATGTTGGAACCGAAAACCATATTGGTTGTCTGGGATTATTTTTTTTTTTCTTTCAAAAGATAAGATAGAGTTATTAATTGTTGCTTCAAAAACTTTGCTCAATGCTGGCGTCATGCTGATTGGACGGTAACTGACTGGTTCATCTATGCTTTTTCCATTTTTATGAATTGGAATGACTATAGCTGTTTTCCAAATCTCAGGGAAATAACAATTATTCAATGCATTGTTCATTATAATGGTAAGGTCAATAATTATATTTTTTGGGAGATGTTTAATAATAATTGGGGGAATTCTATCAACACCACTTGAGATTTTGTTTGGAAGATATTTGAGAATTAATTTTATTGTTGTTGGGGAAGTGAAATAATTTTCAAAGTTATTGATAGAAGCAGCGTTCGTTGATAAATTGTTACGATTAAATGTTGTGACTGTTTTAGAATTTAAAATGTCAGAGATCATGTCGGTTCTGAAATTTTCTATTTTCAAATCAACTAATTCTTTTAGTCTAGTGTTTTCATTTAAGTATCTCGGGGAATTAATTCGTTGATAATGCGCTCCAATCACATTCAAAATATCTGAATCGTCGTTTATAATGAATTTATTATTATTTATTGGAATTTTAGCCAAATCACAGTTGGCCTCATTGAGCAAAGAGTCATCATTTAAGTTTATTTTTAGTTCTTTGATTGTTTGTTTTTTTTTAGGACGAAAAATGTTATTTATCGTCGGCATGAATTTTTCCGTATCTTGGTAATTGATTCTTTTATATATTTTTTGCCAGTATGTTTCGATTGCTAGTTTAAATTCATCGTTGATTTTATTTTTACATTTTACAATTGTTGATTTGAGGCGTCGTGTTATAGGATCACGTTTTTTTGGGTCTTTTTTGAGATACCTATGGTATAACGTCAGGAGACGTGATTTTATTTTACTTAATTTTTTGATTTTTTTGTTTGAGTATTTGGTAATATTTCCTGATAGATTGCCTCTTGGAACTTGGGATTCGATTGAGTTGACTAAAAATTTGGTGAGGCCTTTTATATTTTCATCAATTTCATCGTTTGTCAAGTTTCTATCATTTGGGATTGCGAGTTGATAATTATTCTCGAGGTATTCAGAAAAAGCTTCCCAATTAGTGTTTTTGTAATTAAAGTAGAATTTATCCTGAAATTCGGGGTGATCAATAAGAAGATCATCCGTAAGATCTAACGAAATAAACAGCGCTTTGTGGTCGCTGTCGTAAATTTTTGTTTGAATTTTCTCGTTTATTAAATTATTAATGTTCAGTCTCGAATCAATCAGGGCCAAGTCCAGGACTGATTGTGATTCGATGTATGTGAAATCAATTGGGGGGATGAGATTTAATTTATACCTTTGATCGTTAGCTAATTCCCAGTCTCTAAGGTGTCTACCTCTCTCATTAATGTTATAGTCACCATAGGCTTGGTGTCTAGCATTAAAGTCACCCATGAGGACATAGAAATTATTGTTTTTATCTAATTTTAATTCCCTGAATAAAAAGTTCAATTCGTCCAGAAATATTTGTTTTTGTTGAACGGCATTTGTGGCATATGAACTAATGAAGAAGATGGATTTATTGTTCACTGTAGGGACCATAATAATGGAATATTCCAAAACCAGATTATTTAAAGAATTAGGGTAATTAATTACTTTATATTCCATATCTTTTCGGATGATAATTCCCGTTCCACCTGAGAATTGAGAGTTTTTTCGATCATTTCGAATGAAGTTGAAATTGTTAAAGTTTATTTTATGATTTTTATTTAATTTTGTTTCTCCTACAAATGTAATATCTAAGTTGTTATTCTCTATGAATTTTTCAAGGGAATATCTCCTTTGCTGTCTAACAATGGAGTTCACATTAATGTAAGCTATTTTTAGTTCTTGAAAAGTAAATTGATTATTATCTCTATTATTATCCTTTTGGAAGTTGTATGTTATAGAATTAGTCATCTTTAAGATTTAGATGCTCTAATATTTTAGCAATATTTTTAGTATTATTATTTACTTTCTCAGTAATGTTATTTAGGTTCTTCATGATTGCCGATACTATCCCCTCTTTCATGATTTCCACCCATGGAGGGGGTGTTTCGAGGCGGACAGGACCAGCAATTGATTGATTAATATGGGTGTTTGGACAACCTTGAGATTGGCTTTGACGAATGGATTTTGGTTGAGATTCTGTTTGCGAGTACAAATGATTTTGATTTTTGTTTTTAACGACATTGGCATATGAAGTTTCATGAGTAACTTTTTTTGAGAGTCTATCTATCCTATCTTCTCTAATCTGGTTATTTATATGCAAGTCGTTCTTGACGATTTGGAGGGAATATTTATAGAAGGGGCAACCTTTGTAATTAGCAGGATGCCCTGTTGAATCGCAGTTTGCGCATTTCAAAGTATTTCTATCTGAGTTTTTGTCGATACTGCAGTTTCCAGGCTCGTGACCTAGACTGCATTTCACACACCTGAATGACATAGAGCAGTTACCACTTGAGTGTCCGAATCTCTGGCATTTTTTACATTGAAATAAAGTGTTTTTGCGCAGTGGTTCCCAGCGTATTTTTTGATAAAGTATTATTTTTATCTTCGTTAGCTCAGCTAAAGAAGATTGGCTTGAGATTTGTATCAGAAATACTACATTATTGGTGTTTTTATTGAAATGGGTTTTGGAGACTTTTAGTAATTCAACATTTTTTAAATTAAAACTCCTCAATTCAGACATGACATCATTTTCATTAAAGTCACCGTAAAGGTCTTTTAAAACCACTGTTTTGGGCTTAGTAACTTTAGGAGTGTAAGTATAGTATTCTATGTTATCATCAGATAGTAATTTTTTAACAATATTAAACATTTCAAGATCTGACGTGTGTATTGTGACGCATTTTGAATCTCTGGGTTGTTTTAGTCTAAATCGCGATTTATAATTGTTAGAGATATCTAAAATCTTTTTCGCTAACTCTTTTATACTCTGGTTGTAAGAGTGTATGGGTGGGGGTCTCTGACCTGGCGACCTTCGGGTATTCGGCAGTTGTTGACTGTTGGTGTTGTCATCGACGTGAACACCTGTGCCATCGACCTGTGCATTTCTCTCGCTCTCGTCTATTGGAAGTCCAGTGAATTTGTTCCTTGTTGTCATCTTCGAGGGTGTTTGCCTGCTTGAGTCTCGGAGAGGGGATGATTGTTTGCTTCTTGTCACCTTCATCCAACCGTCATCCTTCTCTGAATTTGAATTTTTATTCCCAGAAAGGTTTGCACTATTCTGGGAATTATCCTCAGTAATATCAATTTCAAATGGATCTGTGTTAGGATGTGACTCGTTTGAAGATCCGGCCATATCTGATATGTTTTGCGATGATGATTTTTTCCCATAAAGGGCTTTTATCTCTTTAACTTCTCTCTCCAGACGATCAGCAGTGATGTTTGGCGGATTTACCCTGGAGAATTTTGGTCCAGAACGATTTGTATCGATGGGCTCACCTCTTCTTTTTTGGGAAGATATATTAGGTCTTATGTTCCCTCTGCCTCTGCCACCCCTCAAGTACTGGGAGTTAGTTCTCTGATTTTTTTGGCTATCTGCCATATTTTATTGAGACTTACATGAATTTTGTAATTTAAACTGTCGTAGACAGATTGAAACTTTCTTTTATTTACTTGTTCAATTTGAAAAGAAAATTTTGTAACAAAATTAAATGAATAAAGCTAATCAGCAATCAGATAAACGGAAGGTGTACGGTTTGAATTGCACACGTCCGAACGATCTGACCGCTCAAAGCAGACTCCGCCGAGCACGTTACCGATAGGACAACTCGCTCATAATAATAATTTTTTTTCATTAGTAGTATATGTTCATACTAAATAAATTCCATAAAAGTGTGCATTCAATAAAAAAATGTTTTGAACAATTTATCGACTCGGAATTGAACACGAATATATAACTGGGAGTTTCCTCGCGGAATAAATTGATACAAAAAGGCAATTACGTTTTAAATTCAGTTGTTAAAAAAAAACTCTTCAATTTTTTCCCACTCGATTAAAATCATTCGACCGTCTATCGGAATAATGTATATAAATTGTTGAATAAAAAATTATGACTCAGCCGATTTGATTCATTAATTTTTTTCCAATGTTATGAATAAATTGCGGGATAAATAATGAATGTTGATGAAAGTATCCATCTCCTGTTGTTGTCTCCTCAAGTGATCCCTCGATCATTGTTCTATCGATCAGTCAGGATGCCACGTCCAATCCTGTACACCGCGGAGATGAGTCCACCCTGTCGTGCTGTACTCCTCGCAGCTGAAGCTATCGGTGTGCAATTGGAAAAACGAGAAATCAGTATATTCAATAGAGATCAGCTGCAGGAGAGCTTTCAAAAGGTGAATTCACCTGTTCTACACCACCTGTGAATGAATGTGATCGATTATTAAATTTTTTGGCAGATTAATCCGCAGCACACGATTCCCACTCTCGACGACAACGGCCACATCATCTGGGACAGGTAAATGCGGTAATTTATTTTTTTTTTATTCTTCGGCAATCTCTCTGGAGTGAATTATTATTTCAGTCATGCTATCATCTGCTATTTATGTGATAAATACGGGAGGGATGACTCTCTGTACCCGAAGGATTTGGAGAGAAGAGCAATTATTGATCAGCGGTTGTACTTCGACTGCGGAATACTTTTTGCTCTTCTCCGGGGAATAGCAGTGAGTAATTCCAATCATTAATTATCACCATTATTAAAGAATTGCATTTTCTTTAGTTTTCAATATTTGTGCACAATCAAACAACAATTCCAGAGGACAAAATCGAATTTGTGAAAGAAGGTTATGACTTTATGAATAAATTTTTGCATGGGAAGAAATGGCTCGCCGGAGATTCGTACACTTTGGCGGATATCAGTTGTGTCGCATCGATCAGCAGTTTGGATGTAAATTATTTCCAAATTAATCATCCTAAAAATTTATATTTTATATAAATAAATTCCACAGGCATTTGTACCGGTCGCCCCATACCCTAATGTAGCTCGTTGGTTGAAAATCTGTGAAGAGGAGCTTCCAGGATATGCGAGAGCGAATGGTCCAGGGGTGAAAATGTTTCATGAATACTTCAGAGCGAAACTGCAACCGTAAATAAAAAATATCCCTTGTTGATTGTCAATAAATGGTTATTGTTTCATTGAATATTTTACACGTAAAAAAAATGGTAGATCTACACAACAATAAAAATAACAATAAAATTGATTAATCTCCTCCAGGATAATTAAGATGATTAAAGCTTTTATCGACGAATCTCATCCTGATGCCATCCCTCTCCTGGGAGACAGAAATGTCAGTCCCATTGATTCCCTGCAGATCGCCGAATTCAAACACAGAGTTCCTGGTGGTGATCCAGCTGTCAGGGACCCTGCGATAATTTTCCCAGTCGTAGACAGCCCAATCGTTGACCGGACCAGTGTATTTTCTCACCCTGAGCCCCAGAATCAGTGAGAACTCGACATTATCCGCAGATTTAGCCTGAAGGGGATGTAGTTTCCCCCTGACATTCCTCTCAACGTAGGATATGGACCGGCTGAAGGGAACATCGACCTCGAGATCCCTCTCCAGCCATCCGAGTTGCTCTCTTCCCCCGAAGTGCTGGAGCTTGTCCTCATAGAAGGACCTGATGTTCATGGTGATCTGACGAGAGGCCTTGAAGTACGCGTGAAGTATCTCCAGGAGTTTTGAGTTGAACATGTACCGAGAATAGATGACATCAAAATTATTCTCAGTGATTCCTGACGCGTGAAGAATGTGACGTTGAGAATGAGTCAAGGGAGTGGCAGGTGCCCACCCGAGAAGATTAGCCGTTGGCAGTCCAGGATGGAAATCATTGGAGAAGGGCCTGATATCTGGCTTGAGGTCCCAGTAGGGGCTCCCCGAGGAATTCTGAGTAAAGAGAAGATCCTCCTGGATGGCCTGAGCCATCACCATCGGCGCTGGCATCGACATGTACTTCCAGTGGTTGGTGTTGTCGACTCGACCGAAGTGACCCTCTCTATTCGGCCACATCAGCACTGAGTACTCGAAGTACTTGGAATCCTCAAGGTCTTTTCCTGAGCTCGGGGCTATCTGCAGGTCCCCGAGGTTGTACAGGTACACGAAGATGCTGTAGGGGACGCAGGACGCCACTCCGTAGACGTGCTTCGCGAATTTCTGGTCCTCATCGTCCCCCAGCCCCTTTGCAACTCGAATTTGCGCAAGTCTCGCGTACAAGTGCTGCACCATGTAGTAACGGTACATCGAGACCGATATTCGATCCTGGAAGCCCTCGTCTTTGCTGGCTTTTATCCAGTAGGCGCGATCCACCAGCGGTAGAAATGACTCGTAAGTCGTCGTGAAACTCGAACATGACATTGTGTAGCTACCGCCGTGGGGGTTCTATCAAATTTTCAAAAAAATTCTCAATTATTTATTCTCAGGTCTCAATTATATCAATGTCATCTTTGAAAATTACCCTTTTGACTTTATTTTTTCCGCCACTAGAATTTTTTACACATGGGATATGACTGCTGCAATTACACAATTGAAAGAAATTTAAACTGCAGGTGAAAAGGAACAGCAAAAAAAATTGATCGGTTCTCCTCATTTTGTAGACGCGATTTTTGAAAATTATTAATTAAATAATTGTGATATTTTCTTATACTATTTTATTACGCAGGATTTTTTTTGCAGAGACCAATTCTCTTTCCTCACTCCTTACACAATGATAAATGATCTAGGTTTCGATCAAGGATAGAGTATGATCTCGCGTTTGCGCATTGCGGAAATAAAACATTCCAGTAAATAGATCTTGGTGAGTGATACATATTCGATACGTATCTCGATAATTGGTGGAAATATTCCTGCATCCGAGGTAATCAAGGATAAAGGAAAAATCGAGAAAAAAAATTGATGAATAAATGAATTTCAACTATCGGGTAAATAATAACATTTTTCAATGTAATTTTTATTATTATTTATTTACATATACATCCTCTACTTGACTGATTCTTATTGATATTGATAACTATTTAATATCTTCTTGGGTAGATTATCTGTAAATACCAGATAGTGTTAATTGAGTTATTAATTTTTCCGTTAACTTCTATTTTTATTTGTCATTCGGTATTATTTCGTGCGAGACACATTTCATCTCTTCACATTACATATTCTGGTTGTGCGGGACTGATGAATACAACATAATGGAATAATACCAATTAATTTTTTTTCATATAATTGTTTAATAATAAGCTGAACAGTATAAAAATATTACGATTCTGGCGAATGTAAGTGAGGAAGATAGGGTGAAATGGACAGAAGGAACTTCAGTGATTTTTCTTCCCTGAAGATTCTTTTAAATTATTTATTCATTCATGAGATTGCGAAGGATTGAAAATTTCTAGGTTTACCCATTTATTTTTCAATGTAATGCAAATTATGATTAAATCAGTATTAAGAGCTTTATCATAACGCGAATGGAGGAACAAAAAAAAAACTCTTAAACGTCGTCATGGCACCTAGTGTCTTGAATGTTACAATCTTTCGTATTAACACAGCTTTCTACTTAATAATACTATCTGCTATTCGAAATCCTCTGTTTTGTGTTGTTAATTGTTTTTTTTTTTGGTCACGAATAATGTAATTATGTAATTTTTTCGTCAACGAAAATCGTGTGTTACATTCTCCAAAAATCTTGGAATCATGAAAATCATGATAGGACGAAATTTGACCGACCAACTCCATTTCTGCACTGTCTATTCCTTTTTATATTCACTAACACGTAATTCAGTAGATAAATGATAAAAAAATGATTCACTTGTTGAATCGACTCCCATTTTCCCTTCACACCACTGAATTATACTCAATGGAGGCATAACTTCAATAAAAGAGACAATTAATGAGATTACCTTATTCTCATATGTTTTTTAATATCAATGAAAAATATTAAACAAAATGTTACAAAATCTTCGGATTTTATTGCTTCCAACGATAAAAAGTAAAGAATTTGTTAATCTCGGAAGCAATATGAAGTTTGTGAACTCATCGAAACTCGTAGTCCAATTGTTTTTTCCATATTCCTTAGACAACTGGAAATAAACTTGATGGAATGCGTAAAATAATTTTGGTGCGATCTCTTCTACCAGGAGTAAGTCGAAACTCAGATTACCCATTATCTATTCCTGAGTGATAATAGTACGAATGACAGAAAATCTTACAATTTCAATTTAATTTTATCAAATGTTTAATTCAGCAGTGAAGTGGCGCACAGGTGACTCCAGGTTTAAGACATTCCTCGATAATTTAAAAATTTGTCATTTCACTGGAGAATTATTTATTTGAATGTTTATAGGGATTACTTACTCAGTCAAACAGCCTCTTTAATGCTATCACGACTCTGCGAATGTATCGCGTGTCTCATTTCACCGCCTGGTGCACTTTCACGTCTTATAACACCTGGACTAATGACATCGCGTTTGTTAGCAGCTTCTTTGATACTTGATAGGGTTTTGCTAAGCCAGGGCCATGTATTCCGAGCTGTCTGGAGCTCTGAGGCTGTTGCATGGAGTTGATGGGTTAAATCCTATGGGAAATTTCATAATTTTATAATAATTTTATCATTATTATTCTCCCACTTCATTATTGATTAAATATTCACCTGGTTTCGACATTCAGCTTCGACATGTGCCAATTTAGTCTGGGCTAATTCAAGCTCTAGTTCACGGACGCGTTCCTGTGTGCGATGCAGCATTGGATCGACACGACTCTCAAGGGGATGAGAAATATCAGCGTAAACTGTTGAAGCGTCAGCAACACAGCCTCTGCATTTTTCACATTTTGAAATTTTCACCTGCAATGAGGGAAAAAATTTATTATCCATTTACACATGAATTAAATTACAGAAAAAAAATGATAAATTTTAACAAAATAGTAAATCTCTCACCCTTAAGTCACTCAGAGCAGTTTTCGCTGAATTGTAATCGTCCTCCAGACGTTGGCAAATCTAACAAGAAAGAAGTGAAATTTATCAATAGATATTTCCTTTTTTGTTTATTATTTTATTATTTATTTACCAACCTGTTTATACTCATTGATAATGACAACACTTCTTCGACTTTCTGCATCAGCTCTCGCAACTTCTCTCTGTAACATCTCTTTAACTTGAACGAGCTCAGCCTCAAGTCTTTGTTTCTCCTCCTCATTTCTCCCAACGACAGTTCGTAATTGTTCCAATTCATTACTGTACTCGTCTGCATTCTCCTGTGCTTCTACAAAATCCAGAAAACTACAAATGTAAAGAAAGTGTCTCGAAATCACTCCCCAAATTCACCTCAATCTCCATCGACTCAATCAACGAATAAATTCATTAAAGCAATCATTTTTTTTTTTTTTACTTTGTAATTCAACTCTCGCTGCGTGACTCATTGCCTCACTGCAATTGAATTCCCAATAATTATCCTTTCAGTATTTACAAACGTCGCGTTCTTATCAGTTTATTCTATGTAATCAAGAGATAAATCCATCGTTGAAATTTGTTTGTTATTTGATAATTTTTGAAAAATCGAGGAATGAAATTCTATTATTAATCGATGTTTATTTTTTCGCTTACGACAGATACAAGAGCGAGTTTGACTCTGACATATTTTAAACTTGCTAGCTACCGCGAGGCCGTACGATCAGTTGTGCTACACATATATGCATGTATATGTGTAGCTTTGTGGACATTGGAATAAGTGAAATATATGTAATATGTAAGAGTGAGATGTGAGACAGTGGAAACAGAAAGCAGCTGTTAAATTGATAGCACGTGGCGTTAATAATCACTATGGGAGTATTATTTTTTTCAGTGCGATATGATAGTAAACGAATTCCACGAAGAATATCTAAAAATTCATAACAAATTATTATTCATTACCAGTAAAATTATCCCATACATATAATTTCTACAGTCTCAGCAGATATTCATTGATTACGACCCAGACACTTCCCAATTATCCTCAATAAGAAAGCTTTGTTAATATTAATGATTAATTAGATGAAAGCAGGACTGAAGTGGGTACAGAATAAAAGTGAATAAAAATTGTGAAATTGTTTCATTTGCTTCTTTGATAATTCTACTTTATTAATTGCTTCTCTCCTCATAATTATTCAGTTTCAGGTTCAGACAGTTGGTTGATAAGTATTTCATAGTGTTTTTGTGATTCGTGAGAAATTTTGTATTTTGATTGAATGTGCGAGAAATACAATACTGCAGGTGCATTTTTTTTTTTGAAGAATTTCCGCTGATCCTGTAGATTTTTCGTGTCAAATTAATTCATCGCGTTGCTAAACAATAATGACAACAAACTCCAAACATATGATACACATTACAATTTTTTTTTCAAATAGAAAATATATGTTGAAGACTAGATTGTTCAGTTATTATGACAAATCGGTACGCAAGTGGTATTACTATCAAGTGATCTCGTAGAGATATTGATAGATATTATAGTATCTAATCTAAGTACGAAGAGATAATATCAATAGATTTTTTTGGCATTGTGGAAAAAACAACACAATAATTGTTGTGAAAATATGAATGGCATATCTAAATAGCACGATAAAATTCACCATTGATAAAACTGAATACCAAATCTATTTTGAATTGAGTTTTATATTATTGACATGACTTGTGCTATTTAGATCTGATACCGGAAGGTGAAACTCGAAGTGCCTGAACATTGAAATTTGCAAAAAGATCTACACGAAACCACCAAACGAAAATCGTGCAACATGTGACGAAAAAACAAATTCTCATACTTTAGACAACATTAAGCAGGTGGACCACTCGAATAATTTCTTAACGCATGTATCAATTATCCCAAGAATAATATTCTGTTTTCTTATACGTAGAAGATGAAATTACCTTTGAGTGTCGTGAACTCTGCCTCATATTTTTTAAGTTTCTTCAATGTTATTGAGCACGCGAGTTTCATGACGTGACGTGATACATCCTCATTACGACAACGTTTCGGAAGATGAACACGGAAATATTTCAATATCGATTCAAAGTCCTGTTGAAGTAGTTCCTTCTTGCACAGCTGAAATTACATGAATCCTCTAAATTTCTGTTATCCTGTTCTATTGTTCTGTTTCTGATAATTGTGAATAATGTTTACCGTGAGTAAAGCCAGAGCCACTTGGAAGATGGTATCCAGCCCTTGCAGCAAAAAGACATCAAGAATGTGAAACACTAGATAGAGAGGAAATCGTGCTGTGAACAGGGTGAGGAACCATTGGGCTGCGAACATGTGAGTTTCAACTCCGAGATCGAAGAAGTGTTTGTAGAGCTCTGGTAATTGATCCTCAATTAAACGGTTGAGCTGATAAAATCGCATATGAAGATTGTCAAATCTGTCTTTGTACAAATCTCTCAATCCATAATTGTACATCAATTTAACAAGAACGCAAAACGCTTGCTCCTCCGGCATATGTAGAAGAAGACTGGCAACGAGAAAACTCAATCCCTGACAATATCCCACTTCCTCGTCATATGCAGCATAAGCCTTGCTGATTCTATACAGGGAATCCTGTCCCAAACCGCCAGTTTCTTTGAAAAAATCATGGGCGGGAAAAGTTCGATTGATGTCTCTCAATATTACACTCTCACAACTGCTCTCCTTGGTGATGAGAATTCTATATTTATCCATCATATCCAGAGAATTATCACAATTGCTCAGCCTCTGCCAGACCTCTCCCCTCAGAGCCTCAGGTATTCCCTGACGTGTCAATTTAATGAGTAACTTTGGACGGTGTTGATTAATCTGCCAGCTGTCTAGGACTTCCTTCCAGCTCGCCAGCTCATCGACTGAGCAGTACTTGGAGACCTCACCAGTGCCACTGAGCATGGGCTCATCTCCATCAGAATCCGCTTCTTCTTTCGGTGTCAAAGTATCAATACTCGTTAATGAAGGGGATCTAATTAATGAAGCCAAATTGAGAGCAAGATTCAATCGATTTCTATCCAACTCTCCAGACGTCTCAATGCTTTGCACCTCGTAGTGAATTTCTTTGCCATCAGCCGAAATTATTTCCTTAGAATTCAATTGAAATTGCTGAATGAGATTTTTCTTTACCAAGTACCAAAACCTTTCATTCTGAGGATAAACTTTGACAGCTGTTTCAATGACAAATCTAACTGGTTCTCTGATTCCCCTGATAACAAGATCAACAGCAACAGTCATATAGATTTTTCCCTCTTTCGTTTCATTATTGAGAGTCTCCAGAGCTGGATCTGCTGGATCCCAACTGCCAGATATATTATAGCACTGCTTATCCTGCCCCAGAGGGGCTATACTCGACTGCATCTCGAGTAAACGCATGTCTGAATGCTTGACATTTCGACCTGGACTGACCAATACCCCAAAGCATCGTTCAACCTCGAGAGTTATTCCTCCCTCTTTGCTGGATACTTGTTGAATACTCAGACAAACTTGTTTGGCAACGTTGCTACGAAGTTTAAAACAATTTCTGTCCTTTGGTACAGTACTGTAGCATCCCCTGCCATCCTCTTCTTTAACCTCCAGTGTTACCTCGAAGATAAATACACGAGAATTAATTCTCTCAGCTTGATTGAAGCTATTGTTCAACTCTGTACTCGTAACAGAACTTGTCATTGATCGGGGAATGCGTTGAAAGGCTTTAGCAAAACAAGCGGACACCTGTCCAACAGCTTCTGGTATGTCACAACGAAAAACGTGACACTGAAATACCGCAGACTCTTGTGTATCACCGTGGGACCACGTGAAAGCAAAACAAGCAGCACAACTGCCAGTTATATCACCACGTACATAAAATAAAATTCTCTGCACCTCATAATAGGCCATTGGCTGTTGTGTTCCTGCATCGTACAAGACAACTGACCCCTGAGAACTGCTGGGCACTGAGACTGAAACTTTTATTTCTAAATTAACCGTCTGCTCAGCGGACAGAATCGCCATATTTCGCTGGATCTCAGCCTCGGATTTAGGGGCATTTATGGCAGCAGCACCGAGATAAGTCACTCCATTGAATATCGTGCATTCCTGGTGAAAGTCAGTCATAGCGTTCATCTCGTAGTCCTCGTAATCATCTGGCTTCATTTCATCCTGTTTCTCCTGAGTAGCAAGTACATCGTAAAATTTACTCTGCCCAACCTCTTTTGTCTTTTGACTGGTGCCAATAATCTTGACGTCTCCTACACTCTCCATTTTTGCTGTCTCCTCAGTTAATACCTCTCTCAAATTATTCTGGAGATCTTCCAAATTACCGTTGTTGGCGATGTTGAGCATAGGCTGTTCCAGGAGGCCCTGCGGATTTTTGCTCGTTCCTTTGTCATTCACAAATTCATACTCGTCACTTGTCGCCACTGATTCCATCGACTTGACGCTCACACTATCCTCCATAACTTGACCCTGCTAACAATCTGTTTATTTATTTTATTGTAGACATTAATTCATAACAAGATTAAATCAACTTCCCAATGAGAAAAATAATTGTTGTTGCCATGCAACTGCCAATATTTGCATTGACAATGCATGAGTATTTTCTACTTAGCCAATTCATTTGGAAGAATTATTATTTTTTATCACTGTATATAATCGACCAAATCGATTCTTGGCAGAAATAATTAGTAACATCTAGCAGGCTTACCAGTGACATAAATACGCTTGTCACATCGGCTTTTTCACATCATCTCGATGATATTACAGCCCCGCCTTGCCACCATCATCATCATCATCAACATCGCAACTCCCAATCGTACAATTTCTCTTGCAAATACCCAGTAGATTCAATCCTCGTCGTATTTACTCAACAGTTGTATCGAGATCCACGTAGATTGATGAAAAAACCGTTCACCCACTGAAAAAAAACAATGACACACACAATCCAACGACTGATCCAAGAGCTCTCCTCGTAATAGTGCAAGTAGCGGATTGAATTGAGGAAAAAAAATGAGTTGAGAAAAATGAATTATGTGCAAAAATAGCTCAGCCGATTTTGTACCACTGAAGATACTCAAACCCGAGTTATTCATTGATCTTACATTTAATATCACATAATGATGGTTGTTATTTCCTCGTCTTATCGAATCGCTTGTTTATTACTCCTTTTGGCAAAAATTGTTGTAGAGAACCGAGAGGGTTTGACAGGGGCGATGAAACGACGGCGTCGGCCATTCCCTCATATATGTGTATATATATATATACCCCAGATCTTTTTTCCTTCATTAAAAAAAGCGTGGACTGGAAAGTGTCATGGCGGAGAGCATGTAAAAAGTGTCATGGGTGGTGAGCCGAATGATGTATTTTCATGTGCACATTCATGACGGCGGGGTACGCGTATTTGAGTCGATTTTATTCCATTTTATTCGATTTTATTCGATTTTGAGAGAATTGGCAGACATCGTCATTACATCGAAGAAATATCTCCTCTTCGTTAACTCTCACTAACGAGTTAGTGCAATCCATCTTTTTCAAATTCACTCTGCCAGAGAATATGCATGCCTTACAAGAAAAAAATGAATTTCCCTGATTTATATGAGGTGATTAATGAGTCACTATCGAAAGATTAATTATCATTCTCATAAAATATTCGTAAATGCATTTAAAAATGAGAATCAACTCCCGATCGTTTCCGCGGCCGGGGCACCACTGCTGTACACAAAAATACATGCAACCGGAAGTTGAAAAATGCGGGAGTTGATGCGAAGTTGGAATTCCAGAGCTGTTAAAGTGCCAATTACTGCAATTGTTGCATAATCATGAAAATAATGGGAAATAATTTTTTATTGCCTGACAGGGGGGATTTGACGGTTTATCAAATGAACGTAATGATCATTAAAAAATTATCAGCTCGTCGGTAAATTATCCACGGACTAATCGATCAAACAACGGCGCTATATTCCGTCTCTCACACATAGGAAAAAAAAATAATGGTGGATGTGAAGCCAGCGATGTAATGAGCGTCGTCAAAATAAGTTAAAACACCGTGATAAATATAAGTTCTGCTGGTCGAGGAGTATCTTGCAAATCATCAACTTATTTACGACTGAATTTAACGGTAAGTCGGTGAAAACCTCTCACATTTCTTGTTGAACCTATGGGTTCTCCATCTTAATCAAAAATATCAATGCAATGCTGCATTCAAAACGCCAATCCGAACTTGTTACTTTTTTTCTCCCTCTTCATATACATATATATATATCTGTCTTCCATTCTGATAATTTGCCGCTCTCGGCTCTCCAATGGCTAACCTAAACTCCAAAAATTTATGTTTCTTCCATGCCAAATATATTTGGCAACGATAAATTCATATTAATTATCTCCAACATGAGTACTTTGAATATTCAAAATGAAAGTTAGTGCCTGAGGATGACGTGTCTCTGGTAGATTTATTTCAGCGAATTTTTGACATAGAAAAGAATCACTAGGGAAGAAGTAAAGTATAACAGGTGTAATTCACCTGTCTCTAGGTACTTTCATGTAGTTTTTTAAATGGATATAGTTGAAGAAATTCTCGATGAAATATTAAAGTCCAGACATTTGTCATGAATTGATTTTCGATGTTTTTATATTTCTTGGCGAAGGAAATCACGTTTCCAGTCTTGGACGAAATCGAAGTATTGAATTACAGTTGAATTATTATTTTACATGTATAACCGGTGCAATGAATCTTTTCCATATATCTCAATTTTCTCCAACTACAACTTCATTTTAATTTGCTCCGAGCAATTAAAATAGGTCTTCTAATTAACGAATCAGTCGTATTTATCAGACACAGGGAAAATGCGCCGCAAAAGCGAACGCAACAAGGGCAAGTCATCCCCGGAGAAGAAACCAGAGAAGCCAACTCGCAAATCGACCCGAAGACGTGCAAAAAAATCTCCATCGACATCACCAGAGCGTTCAAACAGCGGCGATGGTGATGGTCTGATACCGGATAAGGAGTCGAGCGTAAATTACAAGATTCAAACTCGCATGTCAAGCAAAGAGATACCCCCAGAAACGCTCGTGGAAGAGCCAGAGTCAAAAGTGTCTTCAACCGATCAATTGACAGGTGATGTGGATGTGGAGGGCGGCTCGGTGTGGAAAGTGGCAAGGGCAGACGCATCCCCCGGAGAAATTCAAAAATTAAAGCTGTGCAGACAGCGCAATTTGTCAGAGACATCAGACGTATCATTAACGAGAAAACGAATGAACAAATGGCATGAGGGTGAGGGTATCGCTGAGGAGGCTGACTCTGCTGACGAAAGACCAGCTACGTCCAATGACAAGACGTATTCTGGTAATATCGCATTGGCTGATGATACCTCCTCGACGACTCTTGAGAGGGAATCTGGCGAAGAGGTAAGTGATAGCAAGGAGATCCCGCCTGAACCTACACTCGACTTGTCTGACGTAAAACCAAACATAGATCAAGGACATGCTGAAGCTGAAGCTGAAGCTGAAGCTCAACCCCAACTACAACCAGAAGCTGAAACCTCTGAAGGAATTCACGAGGATCAAGAGCGTTGTCAGATTCATGGTGATGTTGACGTTGAAAAGAATGTCGAAATTCCAGAACAGCAACAGTCACATGAACAGGATCAGGAACAGGAACGGGAGCGGGAGCAGGAGCGGGAGCTGGAGCAGGAGCAGAAACAGGAGCAGGAACAAGAGCAGGAACAGAAACAGGAAAAAGTACAAGAACAGGAACTACAAGTAAAGGAAGCCAAGAAATTGGAGGATGAATCGAGGACATCAGAGAAACAAGAAGAGACAGTGGATAATGACTCCGATGTTAAAGAGAAGTGTGATGATGTCAAAGAGGATGAACAGGGGCGTCTGGAAAATTCTCGTCAGGACGTTGATGTTAATCAAGTAATTGATTCTATTCAGGGAGTCGATAAAAATCACAGTGATGATGATAAATGTCAGTTCAAGGATTCAGGACGGCGAAACTCGGAAAATTCTAATGACGAGAGTGAGAGACCCTCGAGGACACGTTCTAGTAGGAGAAAGCATCGTGATAAGTATCGGGATTCTTCGAATTCTGATTCAGGGGAGTCTGAGGAGGAGCATCAACAGACCAGTCCTAAAATCAAAAGTCCGAAGATTGAGGTGGCTGATGGCGAGGATAAGGAAGAGTCACATCGTGAGGAAAGTGTCGAGGAGAACAGAGGAAAGACAGAGGTATCTGTGGATGAGGGTAAACAGAACGAGACTGTTTCTTCTGCTGTGGAGAATAATAATAGTCCTGTGAGAGAGGAGAAAGAGGCTAATGTTGCCAGGCCAGCTAAAGTCAATTTGAAAAGATCTTTGTAAGTATTTTTTTCATCATTTTTTCTCTCTCGCTCTCGCTCTTTCTCTCTCTCTCTCTGTATACTTCTCTCGCAATGAAGGATTTTTCATTGTATTTTGATTGACATTTATTATTACAGTACGTCAAGGATATCAATAGATGAATGCAAGAAAGATGATGCTGGTTCCACGAATGATACCAGTCAGGATAAAGTACGAGGAATTATTAAAGTTTGGCAGTTTTTTTTAAAGATGTACAATTGATTTTTTTTTTTAATGCAATTTTTATCTTCTGCAATAGGAAAATCACTCTGTCGATGAGCCCAAAAGCATTCCAAAGAGACGTCGTTGGGGTACAGCACTGAGTACAGATATGGCACCTGTATTGTCTATTTCAACGGATTCTCTCAAGGTGAATATTCAATAGCATTCAAATTTTTTGTTTGAAATTTTTTTTTCACTTTTTTATTTTGAACAAATAATTCTAGGCTTTAGTACCCGGTGCAAAACCCCTATCAATAAACGAGGTTCGTTTATCAAAGGATGATGAGGAGGATCGGGATCGTGGTCGTAAGGATAAACGTCAGGTGATGAACGATGGGGATACATTGAAGGCGAACAGCGAGATTAAAAATGATATTTCAAAAGATAATCATATAGGTATTTTGACTTTTTTTGATTTATAAATTCTGATGGATTGAGTGGTAATAGTTATTGAATTCCAGGAGTACGAAGAAAAATATCAATCGTAAAAGATGCACCACAGTTACTTTCTCCAAGTCCACCAGTTGTCCAACCCACCAGCAACATTTTGCTAATTAAAAATTTAGTTCGTCCATTCACTCTCAATCAAATAAAGGAACTCTTGTCACGTACAGGAACTATCGTTGAGAATGGATTCTGGATGGATAGGATTAAATCTAAATGTTTTGTAGAGGTATGTAGGTGTTATTGGCATAATTTGATAAAATTATTATTAAGGGTGTATGGACTCTGGGAAATATATTTATTTTATTGTTTCAGTATGCCAATGAGGATCAGGCATTCGAGACACGACAGGCCCTCCATGGCATATCGTGGCCAACGTCTAATCCTAAAAAACTTCAAGTTGAATACTCGGTGAAAGAGGAAATGGATAAGGCTAAGGAATCTTCGAAGGATCAGCCCCTCTCACGTAAATTGGAGACATCTTCAGGGACAGATTCATGGCAACAGGACTGGGGACGTGAGGGTAAATCGAATGCCGCTGCAACAAAGGTACGTTTAATACGCCAATATCTTTCTTTCAATTGTCTCGAATTTTTCGTTTTTTTTCTCCTCAGGTAACTGTGGTGAGAGAATGGGATTTAGGTAAAGAGGATGGTCAACATCTCTTGCTGAAGGACAAGGAGAAGGAGAAAAAAGATACGGATAAGAAGAGACGACAGCGGAGTCGCAGTCCAACACTGGAGGCACATCTTCCAGCACCAGCGAGGAAATTCAAGAAGAAAGAGGATGAACCTCCACCAGCTAAACTTCTCGATGATCTTTTCAGAAAAACTAAAGCTACACCCTGCATATACTGGCTACCACTCACTAATGAACAGGTTTGTTATTAGAGGCGATAATGAATTTCGGAAAATATGTAAATCGTTTTACTGGAATTAAATGTGAATTTATAGATTGTCGTAAAGGAGGAGATGCGACGACAACACATGGCCGAGCACGCAAGACGGCTTGAAGAAATGAGACGTGCTGAGAGAAATCGTGATGGTCGTCGTCGACGAAGTCCCAGAAAATAAATAAACCTAAATCCTTCATTTTTATTTCTACAGTTTGTCCTTTATTCGTTTTGTCTGAACTCAAAGATTACCTCCTAATCTCTCTGGACGTTATTAATTCCCCTGACAATATTTAATTTACTTCACACACGCCTTTCATTTTCATTAGTCAGTTGTACAAAACCAATTTTTTCTTCTAATTAATTGAAGCAGTCAAGCGTTTTGTTAGGAGTTCTTTCATTCGATTCGAAATTCAACGCAGGTTGAAAGATTATTGAAATAAATTACTTTCCTTTCCTACTAACTAGTCCTGACGATGGAAAATAATTCCAAGTTTTTTTTTTTTCAACAAGAAGAAAAAGATAAAAAATGAGATATCGAGGATTATTTCTTGTATAAACCCAATAATAAAAATCCTGGCTTATCACCCATTCTATCATTATCCTGACTCATCGTATTCAACGCATTAAAAAATCCTTCTTGCAGGTCTTCAGTCAACAAATGCCATTCAAATTGATGAATCGGTATCACCGGTCAGCTGATAATGAATTTACAATGGATTGTAGTGTGCACACAACGTGGGATTATTAGTGTAGATATAACGATTTGAGAATTGAAATGACCAGAAAATGTACCGGAAAATGTCTGGGTGAGACAAAGGAGATGTTATACATTTTTAAATTTGGGTTAACGCCATTATCTACGATAATAAAAAATCAATTAGTTAAGAGATAGCACGATATGAAAGTCGATGTGTGATGTATAATAACTATTGAGGAGCAATATGTGAAAAAATTTGTGCTGAGGAACATGAGATGAGGAAAACATATATTATTGATGTATTGTTTCATTTTTATAATGACGACGGTAATGAGCTAGATTATCTGTCCTACGGATTGAATATAAACAAGTGTACAGACAAGTGGAACCTTTCGTATGAAAAATGCATCATGATAAAATGATTGATTAGTATTTCGGTTGTGCGAAATATATACACATTCATTTCACTGTGCAGATTAAATAATGAAATCTCCTTGCACTTATAGTTCATATTCCTCTATGTCTAAAAGTATCAAAGCAGAAACAATAAATACAATACTGGAAAATACTTGAATCAATTATTTCTCCTTTTTTTTCCCAATGTTTGATTATTATTTTTAATTGAACGCCACGTCTAACTTATCAAATAGCTTTTTATTTATATTATTCACACTCTTATTCCTACCACAATACAGTGGTTATTTGTTTCATTAATTTACAAAAGTCGACCAACTATTGAATGTGCATTATCATAATATATAGTGTTTTTGTTTTGCTAAAAGTAGGGCAAACGTTTCAATGTCACGAACAGGTGTATTTGAAAAATAAACACAATACGAGGAAATAATGGAAACCTTGTTTTGGTGATGTATAGAATGGGGTGGATACTTGAATTAATGGCCAATTTGTACATATTTATTTGTTTTGAGTGGAACTGAGAGATCATTCGACATTCACCAGCGTTTATTTTCTGTTCATTTTGTGAGAGAAAGGGAATTTAAGTTGAGGCCTATTATTATTAATTGAAAATTATCGTGATGTAATCATCGCATTCACTGAATCGAGACGGTAGATTGTATTTTAATCTTGAAAATATTGATTAAAATGTCATCTCAATGCTGAATGAGAACTTTTAGTTTTATCTCTTCATTTTTTTATATTTGATGATACAATTTTCAGTCGACTTTTACAACACTGTAGATCTTTCGGACGAACCAGAAGCAAGCGAAGAAGCCAATTGTACCTGAAAATAATTTTATATAACAGAACGATATAACAAAAAATAATTGCACGATTTAATTTTAGATGCTGAATATAATTTACCTGTAAGAAGGAAGAACAAGAATACCATGATGAGTGTATAGCCAAAATACAAGAATGTCGAAGCTGCATCTTCAATATTTAATTTTGTCACGAAGAAGTGTATGCAGTATATTAATAAATAAACAGCAGTGAAGCCAGACGTCAAGAAACTCCTCCACCACCAGTGATAATCCTGCAGGTGCAAAATCAGTTTAATTAATTGTCAATTCATTGAAAATATTTATTCGTAACAATTATGTCAATTACCTCAGCACACAAATGGAAGTAGCAAAGTAATATTGTCGTTTTCGAACACGTGATGACGAGTATAAGGAATACGAGAAACAGAAATCCAAACATGTAATACATTTGACTTGACCACAGGGAATTTAGAATAAAAAAGAGTTGAATAAAAACACATCCAAAGGGTAGTACTCCACCCATGACAACTCCAGGTATTGCCTGTGTGTAAAAACTTTGCTCGGGAATTTGTCGAGGAATTTGATTCGTCCTCACAGGGTGCTCCAGCGCCTGAGACAATTAATGAATTTTTTAAATTGTCAAACGAAAATAATTCTACTCGTCTCACGGAATTCAACTCACGCGTTTTCTGAATCCAAAATACGCTCCAATAAATGTCAATGGCACAGAAACTCCAATCCAGAGAGCAAGAAGAGCCACTAGTGTGCTGAAAGGTACAGCTGCAGAACTTCCTTTGCTCCACAATACCAGATTGAGAATGAAGAATAAACTGAAGACAATACTGAGGAAATAAACCGAATAGAATTTATTTAAATAATGATCTCATGAGGATTTTAATATTGGGATGGAAAAAAAAAATTCAATTACCCTGGACTCAGCATAGCTGTCAGCAAAACATTGGATTTCCATTTTTCTCCACCGAAGCTTTTGTATATTCGCGCAGAAACGTAACCAGCTGGTGTTCCAAGGCAGACATAGAGGATCATAGCGCAGGTCATAAGAGCACCTCGATTTGCCGGGGAGAGGAATCCCAAGCATGCAAATGCTGTTGATTAAAAGAATTTATTTTCTCTTCTTTCCAATTTCCTCATAGTTTTTGATGGTTAAATTTTTTTTTACAAGCTTACCCAGTGTAACTAACGTCATGCAAAATACTTGTACACCAGAGCCAAGTAACACCGAGAGCAGCATTCCCTTCCTGGGTGGACGAAATACATCTCCGTGAACCAATTTCCATCCGAATTCCTCCTGTGCGTCTTCCCCGGATTCAATCTGAAAGTAGGCCTGCGTTATCGCAACACAGACAAGGGATACATCACAAAATAGGCAAAAAAAATATTTAAAAAAAAATCCATGAAATAAACTGAAAAGATCAAATATTTTAAAATGAAGCAATACCAAAAAGCAAATATAATTGATCAATCAATTTACCTGATTGTACCTAGCAATATCCTTATGCAGAGTCCTAAGCATAATCATAGCAACCATTCCAGACAGGAACAAGACGATAACCAAGGAATTAAGAATACTAAACCACTGAATATTGGTATGAGGCATAGACTCGAGAATGTAATCCCACCGAGAGGACCACTTGATCGTATTATTTCTGTAATACTTAACAGAGTAACTGTAAGTTATATCAAGTTTTTCTCCAGCCTTGAGCTTCTCATAAGGTATCTCCAGGGGTTCCTTGGACGTGCAATCAAGTGCACGAGTATCATCATGCTTAATGCTCCTCGGTGACACCTCAACCGAGATAATTCTCCCTCCCTTTTCTCCAAAAGCACTGCCCCATTCCTCACTGCCTCCAGAGTGATAAGTGACCTTCAAGTCAACGTGATTGAACAGGTAGTATTTATTGGGCTTGCTGTATGCTGGATTCAGGCTGCAAGTGTCCTGGACAGATCGGCTTTCACGCGAGAAACATCCCATGGGAAATCTCGTGCTCCTGTACTGTCTGTCCTCGTCGGAGCGATAGCACCATGTCACTGGCATATTGTCGACAATCCAGTGGTGCTGATAATTCAAGGCCATTCCCTTTTTCAGTCGCTCCAATTTTCTCTCGGCCTGTTCATCACCACCGACGTAGGTTTTGGTGCAGAGGTTTTCACATGTTGTGTTCTTCAGGAATGATAGGACGTAGGGGGAGGGCCGAATCCGTTCGCCAAAGACCACTTGGCCAAGATTTTCCACTGGAGATTGGGTCTCATCACCTTTGCAGAAGTCGAAGCTAGAACACACGACAAACAAGTCTCAGTCGGTGTTCGGGGGATTAAAATAATTGTCACTTACTAGTGATATTCGTAAGGAATCACCGACTCCTCTGTGTTCAATCTGTTGACATACAGTTTGATGTCCGACTGAAAATGATAATTCAAATAATATCAAAGCTGGTGTTAATCTAAAATAATTAAAAAATTATCGAATTAAAATTATGAAAAAAATAGGGAGAATTCATCAGATTTTTGTCTTCATGTCTAATTCTGAATTTGTGAGGTTATCAAGGCACCCTGATTACTACACTCACTTCGATAATTCAACAATATCATTTGCACCCACACCTCTCTGAATAAAATTCAAAGAACATTAAGAAAATCCAATGAAATTATAATACAACAGCGTCCGTCTTGATTTCAAAAAGATAATTTAAAAAAATCATGTGTTGACGTGCCGTGATGGAATTTTCATAAACGTAAGGCTGATAAATTTGATATTTTACTCACTTTACACGTGCCAGTGTCATCACCAGCTTTGCAAAAATTGACAGGTGCCAATCCTGGCAAATAGAAACTCACTGCAAACTTTGTAATGCATAAAAGACACAGGAGATAAATCATGGTAACACACGCCATTGTTTCTACTACGTTGCAGTCTCGTCAATTTATTTATTCAATGATATACTCAATTCATTAGTTTAATTGCTTTACTGTTGATTATTTAACTGGTGTGCGTAATTTTCGATGTAATTTGAACTCTTGAATGCACTTCATAGAGATCTTACGTGTGAAAGAACAAATGTCATAGCTCTTGAATTCTCGGCATATCACATCAAGATCGCTGCCATGACACGTCACATATGTACACTGATAGTAAATACATGATTTGAGTGTCGCCACGGCAAATACGTAACCGGAGAATTTCAAATTGCAATTGCAATTGTCTTAACAAAACAAATTGGATTTTATTTTAAAAAATAATTGACATTTCGAAGATATTGAGTAATAAAATCACAGAGAATGTCTCATTTATTCATATCGGTCATTATAACTAAAAAAACTTGTTTTGTCTACATTACATGGATAACATTCAGTGCTCGAGAAATGAAATGGCAATGATGATAGCTATAATAATACTTATAATACAATTCAATTAAATATAAAAAATGAATGCTAATAACACAGAAAATTGATGGAATGTCTCCATCACTGAGTCCTCATTTTTTTAGCTTGTCCAGCGAGCTCGGCAGGCTCCTCCTCGAAATACTTGGTTGTTTGTTTGTTATTTCGATTTTCACACTTTGTTAGATTGCAGCCGCATTCCTCGGAGCACATGATTCCACCTTTGTAACACCTGCAGTAATAATTTTGACATTTGGTCTTACACTGACACTTGCTCTCAATCGTCTCCTCCATCGATCTCTTCAAGCTTTTTTCCTCTTCGCTCGAACGCAATCTCCTCGAATTTCTCGGCTTTGCCAGAGGTGTTTTCACCCAATCTGGATCCTTATTAATATCATCGTTAAAGCTCTCATCAGTTTCGCAGTTCTCCTTATCCAAATATCCAACAAGCATATCCTTGAAATTCGATACAGCACTTATTGTTTTCCTGGCCACTGGCTTACTCTTGCTATTGGAAATTCTCACCCCTTTCTCTGACTGAATCATCTTCTTGTAAGAGTTCAACTCCTCCAGAACTCGCTGGTGCTCTTTCAAACTGACAGAAGGAGTTAACTCTATTTTCCTTAATTTGGTGAGAGCTTCATCAAGAGCGTTCGTCAATTCATCGTACTTCTCCTGTCTTTCTGACGCCTCCACCCTGTGCTGTTTACAAATTCGCTCAATCGTCTCGAACAATTGATGAGATACTTGTTTAGCCTCTCCAATGGTGTGGATCCCCTCCATCCTAGTCTTGACCATTGTCTCCTGCTCAGAAGCCACGATTTCCTGCTGCAGTTTATTTACTTTAGCGGTGCACAAATCTAAATACTCTTCAAGATCATTAATTTGCCTTGCCAAATAATCTGAAGGATTTTCCCGAGCAGTTGCTTTCAATTGTTGAAGATCTTGAGCAATTTTTTCCCGATATTTCAACTGCATATCGAGAGCATTTTGAGCAGCAATTATTTCCTCAATCACTGCCACCTCATGATTGACAAATTTTTCGATATACTCTTTACTCTTTTTTCCTTTATCCTCTCTACTTCCTCGAATTTTCTTCTGCAAAGCAAGTGTTTCCTTCAATTTTTTATTCATAGCGTAGGCCTCTTCCATTTTTCGCTTCATCACATTCTGCTGTTTATTGTGTAGCACCTGAAGTCGTTCCATCTGATTCTTTCGTTTTCGATCCTGATCTTTGAGTTTGTGCACCTCTCTCTCTCGTAATGCTTTATACTGCTGAAATTTCTCAGCTTCTTTTCTCATATCCCTCACCAATTTAACTCGCATCTGCTTCATCTGTTGAATTTCCTGCGTCAAATTCTTCACCTGCTGGACAGCTTTCTCCTTTGTTTTCAATATTCTACTCTGCTCTACACATTTTTTCGTCAACTCCGTTATCTTTTTCTCCAACTCCTTGACCTTCTTTCGGCGAGTCTCAGCTATTTTGGCAGATGCATTATTAGTCTGAAACTCTTCGAGATTCTTCATTAATTGTTCCTTCTCAGCCTGAAGGACTTTTATCTCGTTCTCCATATCCTGGAGCTCCTTGGCGTGATCGACGAATTGAGAGGAATTCGATAGAAGTTTCGCTACAAGTTCCTCCTTCAAGGCCAATTGCCGATTGATATTAGTAACTTCTTTATTGCGAGCAGCTTGCAAAAGCGTGTGTTCCGTGTGTTCTTCATCCAGCGATGATTCATTCAATGTGCTATTGATGCTGTCACTGCAGCAGAATCCTTCCCCCTCATCCTCTTTCTCATTTTCATTAGGATTTTTCTCCAGTGATATTTGATGCTTGATCTCAGCATCCGATTTCTTCTGATAGTCCTGAATTGCAATAATTTTCTCTTGAATATTTTTCAGCATTACGTAGACCTTCTCGATATTTGGCTCACTGATTGCCGCCTCGATGTCCACCAATAATTTATTAATCTCTTCTCCCAATTTTTCTCTGCTGGTCTCAGCAAGCTCCGCCCGTTCATGCACTCCCACGAATTCGATTAGATTAGAACGCAACTGTTCAGATATTTCTCGAAGATTTTTGTTAAGTACTTTGTTCTTCTCGACGAGCTCGAGATGTTCTGGAGGGCAATTTATTCCAGAGTCCCCTTTTTCGATGAGAGATAATTTGAGTTCCTTCACTAGAGCATTGAGTCGATTGATCTCAGCAGCTTTTGGATCCTGATTGACGATCGGTTTATTCTTTATTTTCTTGGCTCTGTCTGCATATCTCAGAGTGCTGAGGGTTTCCTCCATGTTGTAATCAGCAGGGCTGACACAGGCAATCATCAGGGTAATGGAGTTGCCACCAAGTGAGTCCTGAAGGAGTCGAGTTAATTTACTGTCACGATAACCAATGTGAGCTGCATTCTCTCCTAAATTGGAGATTACATTTCCAAGAGCTAGGAGTCCTTTGTTGATACTGATCCCCTCCTTGAACCTGTCACCTGTTGCTTGAGTTTTTTTATGCCTCTCTGAACCGGCAAGATCGACCAAGTGGAATTTAGAGGTGGTGGCAGAGTTGGAGTCGTTGTTTTTCTGCTGGAAAATTGTTAGTGTAAAAATAGCATGGGATCTGCTGCTCTGGGAATTCATGGCTGTCGCCCCTGTTGCTCGACCCTGAGAGCCTGCCATTAGGCATTTTAGGACTTGTTCAGCAGAGTTTACTTCCTGTTCAGTCAGGCCAATGATTTTTATTCCATTATTGTCCTCGCGAATGTCGACGATTGAATCCTTTCGTGATTTCCCTGCCAACAGGTCGTAAAGCTGCTCGTTGTAGAGTTCTATGAAACCTACTGTTACTTTGTACGTCCAATTGTCGGCGGATCTATCACTTATTGTGGAGAATATGTCCTGGACAGCTCGTGGAATTATTCCACTGGAGGAATCAATCGTAGAGGAGTTGTTTGTGCCCATGGAGTAGGTTTTGCCACTTCCTGTTTGGCCATAGGCGAGAATCGTTACGTTGTAACCTTTGAATATATTGTGCATCATGTTTTTTACGGCTTTATCGTAAACATTATCCTGTTCTACATCGGAATTGAATACAAAATTGTAGGTGAAGGCCTTGTCTGTGCCAGTGAGTTGTATCTGAGGCTCACCGGCTATTACTCGAATACAATTTTGACAGCCTCGATCCACCTCCGAGGAAATCAGTGGCCTCACCCTCACAGCCACCTTCAAGCACTCGTCAGACATTTTTAACGGATTCTGCAAAATTTTAGAAATTTTTTTATAAAATGGGGAAGGAAGAGGAAAAAATTCTTGAGAATTCACATGAAAAATTTTCACTCGGGAAAGTATCCGGAAAATGGACTCACATAATTTAATATTCCCGTATATCCACAGTGAAGTCAGAAGTAAATTCAATTGCTCTTAAATCAAAAGCTATTTTTCTCCAAATAAAAAATCAAATTGTTCAAGTGCACGCTGACTCGCCAACGGTTGAAATATTTTTAACGGTTGAAAGTCAATGGTCTAAACACAATAATCGTACTTCCACTGCTATCGCTCCAAAAGCGCCAAAAGTCTCTAGAGTAAAGTTACCTGAAGAGGGCGACAAATCGACAAGAAAATCTCTCACCCCAACTTCCGGTGTGAAATTCTCAAATATGGCTGCTACACAAGCTATAGCCCCTTGAAAAATCTCCTGTCACTGTATTTTATTCTGAGACTGCAATAAATATTAACTAAATAATTCAGATAATACGCGACTTCGTGTTGACACCTGTCGTTGATTCCTCCAGCTGTCAAAATAGTTATGAGGAACATCCAGGTGACGTTTTGTGACGAGAGACTCGACTGCTGATAGAATAATTTCTTCGTCATCGAGATTGATAACATAATTTCAGAGACTCCAAGTGATTTTGGGATCTAGGAGAGAAAAAAAAGTGAGGCTGAGTGAATTTGAAGTGGAGTTAACATTTTTGCGGGAATAATTGGGGTATGTCGGTTACATTTGCACAGCGCGGCCGGCCTCCACCGAGCCCTGCGCAAATTCAAAAGATGCTGGATGAGAACAGCCACTTGATTCAGACAATCCAGGACTTCCAGAATAAAGGAAAACCCCAGGAGTGCCTCCAGTATCAACAGATTTTACACAGAAATCTTGTCTATCTGGCATGCATTGCTGATGCTAATCAGAATATTCAAGCTCTTCTCCCTCCACCACAGGGGATGCAGCCCAGTGCCAATGGTCCCCAGCACCCTATGATGGGGCCTCAGGGTCCACCAGCGCTGGGAGGAGCTCCTCCAAATGCGCCTGGACCAGTCGGTGACATGCCACCGAGTGCCCAACAGCCATTGCCCATGTCAGGATTTCCCCAGGGTCAGCCTATGGGTCAGCCAGGATACAGGGGTCCTGTGATGCCAGGTCAGGGACCTGCTATGAATCGAGTGAATCCAGGTCCAGGCCCCCAACAATTTCGTGGAGGTCCTCAGGGTTATCCTCAGCAGCCAAGCCAGCAGGGCTATCCATCATCATACGGCACTCAAAATCCTCCAGGGAATTATCAGGGCCCACAGGGTCCGTCATACGGTCCCAATCAGCCATCGCAATTTGCCCCATCGAATCCCCCACAGCAGCAGGGTTATCCATCAGGCTCCCAACAGAATTACGGTCCACCAACGACAGTTAACAGTTATGGAGGCCAGCCAGGGGCTTATCCACCCCCAGGAGGTCCCCAACCGCAGGCAAATTACGGGCCACCACCTCCAAATCCCCAGGGTTACTCACCAGCAACGTCGACTCAACAGAATTTCTCCCAGAACACTCAACAGCCCCCACAGCAGCCACCAGGGCAGTACGGCAGCCCAAGTCCTCAGCCATCCTACCAGCCTTCTAATCAGCCCCCATCCCAGTCAGCCTACACTCCCAATCCATCACCAGGGAATTATCCACCACCTCCACAGGGTAATCAGCCCTATCCTAATAGTGTACCACCCCAGAATTATCCACCACCGGCTACATCAAACAGTGTAGCACAACCATCGCAGCCGGGACCACCCCAGCAGTCGTCAGGTCCACCTCAACCGTCATACTCCAGTCAACCCAGTCCTGGGGGTCCTCCTACCCCATATGGACCCACATCGACATCGCCACCATTCAGTACAACCTCTGTGACAGGTGCTAATACGTATCCCCAGAGTAGTCAAGCCACGAGTACCCCTTCGGCATCAACTCAGACTTATCCACCCACCAGTGGACCACCTCCAGCGACATCCCAAGCCGGTAGCTATGTACCACCCATGCCAACTCCATCAGGATATCCTGTTCATCAGCCATCGCACCTACCACATCAGCCACCACATCAGGGGCCACCACATGGCCAGTCACACCAGGGGCCACCTCATCAGTCACCACATCAACCACCACATGGGCCGCATGGACCACAAGGGCCACATCAGATCCCTCATCAGACTGGACCGACACAGCCTGGACCACCCTCGTCTCAATCATCGAGTCAGCCACCACCTCAGGCACAGACACCGCAGTCACAGGGACAGGGACAACCACCAGCGCCACAACAGCCACCACAGGGACAGACAAGTCAGACTGGTCCACCCCATCAGCAATCACCCAGTCCTGGGCCGGGCAATTTTCCACCAACAGCTGGACCACCGACACAGGGACCACCGGTAAATCCACCACCAGCACCTGGTCAGCCACCTGGGGGTTATGGACCTCCCCAGTCTCATCCCGCAACTACTCAGACTTATGTGCCACCTGGACCTGCGGGCCAACCACCTCAGGGATATCCACCTCATCCACCTGGACAGGGACAGCCACATTATGGACATCCACAGTATCCACCGCAGAATTATCCGCCCCATCCTGGTGCACCTGGACAATATCCTCAGTATCCACCGAGGGGACCACCTGGACACATGCCACCACCTCCTGGACCTCAGGGACCACCTCCCAATCAGTATGGGGGGTACGGCTATCAACAACCGCCTCAGTGATTTTTTTTTATCACTTTGTGTGCTGGATTTTTATCATTTACTTTTTTACAACAGAGGCACTATGATTTTATTATATTTCGGGATTGTACTATATCGTTAATCATTGCCCATTACGTATTCCTCTTGACTTATTAAAATTCTCTTTCAAGGCTAATGGTTGTGTATTATTTTATTTTGTATCCAGTGATTTATCTCTTGATGATGAACTCTTTGAGGTAAAAAAAAATTTGAATCAGTCCTCTCTTTCAAATTTCAAAATATAATTTCTTTTCCATTGACTATGGTTACAACGGTTTAATTTGTTGAATGCTATGAGAGAAGGGGTTGTTTAATTTCCTCTGTTTTTTTTCTGCGGAAAATTTTTAAAATGATTGATATAATGATGACCCCTCCCAATACGATGAACAGATATTTGCCGATGGTGACGAGGATATTTTGCATAGTTTCCCCAAGTTCGTCCAAAGAGCTGGTGAAATCATCGGAATCGTCGGCGTCATCCTCGTCGGAATCGTGGGCGTCATCCTCGACGAACTCTTCTTCGAAGTCCTCAGAGTCTTCGTCAGACATTCTGTTTTTTGCGTCGCTCAGCGAAGTGACTAGCAGATCAGCTTCCACACCAGCTACGGCGTTGGTTACAGCATTTTTGCCAAAATCGTTTACTATATGAGTAAAGTCTCTTCCTTTGGGTAGTTTCAATGATTCAAGAATTGTATGGCTGTTCAAAGTCTTTACATTTTTTATAAATCCCATTATGTTTAAAAAATTGGAACACCACTATATATATAACATTATTAAATAGATAGGACAGATGTGGATAAATGAAAGAATTACAGTCATGATTAAACTGTTTTAAATGAAAAAAATTAATTCTCCTTTTAATTACGTATATTTAGAGAGTATTTGTTCTATTTAGACTTTAATAAATCGTTATGGGAGAATACAACCATTTTTTCGTCGGAAATTATTGACATGTTAATTATAATTACTGAATAATTGCCCATTAAAAATGTCAGAGGTGCAGTGGCAATTCGTAATTGGCACGTGGCAGCGAAAAATTTTTAATCTTTAGTTTTTTCATTGATTCTCGTTCAGAATATTTGAAGAACTTATAAAAATATCTTCTCAATTGCCCAGACACGAATAATAAGCATTCAATTGCTTGCCCTCTCCACTCGCTAATTATGAATAAATAATTAGGGGACGTTGGAGTAATATTAAATAAAAAATTATCTTTATGGCAATCATGGGAATGGATTGATATGGATTTTAATGATCAATTAATTTTTATTTCCACTACGACAATTTAAATAACAATCTCCAGGTACCCCGCATGATAACGACTCCATCTCGTGTAAATTCTTCGAACCCATAAATTCCTCTGGTAAAAAAACCGAGTGAGAAATGGAGAGTAAAAAAGGATGAACATAAAAGCGGATCTCGAATTATTCCGTGAAAGGCATTCCCACAACGTCGATGTGTTTTTTTTTATCCAAAATCATTACCGAGTGATTCAACTTTAAAATCATCGATGAATAAATTCTCCCCACGTCAACTCTGAGCCTCAAATTCTCCAGTTGAAATACTCCAGGGTATTTCTCCTATCACCATCACCACTGGAAAAATAATAAAGAAATGTCTACCCATGGAGCACATCCCCAAGTGCAACTCATAAAATCCGACTGATCATTCTCTCCAGGAAGAACATGACCTAGTGATCGCAATAATTGATTTTACACCCTTGGGCGAGTAATTCATGAATATCTAGTTAATGACTACGAGGACAAATACTTCGAGTACTCGAGGATTTAATTGTGATAAAGGTGAGGTACAACCTGTATATAACAGTAAACTGTCATTACATAAATTAATGTGTGTCACATTCCGAGGAATTTAGGGTCCAGTGACATCGATTTTTCTTTTCGATTGTTATTCATTTTTTTTTTCTCTGTTGAATCTCTCGTTAGGGTGATACTGTATTTAGTTAATTGTCGAGTTTACATATATATAAAATAACGCCGGTATGTACATCGGGTAAATGACATTTGTAAGCAGCTGTCAAAGGCCCGATCATCGACATTTCAGTCGACCAAGAAATATATTTTTAACGACCTTGATTCCATGTGTCATTCTTATGAATTGATCAATTAATTAGACTTTATAATATTTTTATTGAAAAAAAAACGATAGAATAGAAGAAAAAAGTTTGAAAATTTTTTCCAGACAATAAATAATAAATAATGAAAAAATAAAAATATATTTTCCAAATATTTTTCAACAAAATATGCCTAATAAATTGATTTTTCATTCTTCCAGAGTTTATCAGTTCTCCAGAGACTCGTGACAAAAGGGAAACAATGGAGGGACCAGAAGTAACATTTCTCTTTCAATTCGGATTACTCCGAGACACAGTGACAGTCGAAGCAAGTGCATTAACCCTAAAAGCCCTGAAAGATCACGCCTGCGATTTCATAAATGTGAAATGCCCAGAGCACGGGCTAACTCAACTATTCGAGAGACTCCTCTTATTCAAGCACGACTACAATTCAACGAACATCCTTCAACTGATAACAAATGCAACGGAAGTAATCGACGAGACACTAGTGGAGATAGTCCTGACAGGTCAAGTACCAACGGAGGAGGTGTTAGTCCGACCCCACGCCCTGGTGGTCCACTCGTACAAGGCCCCCACATTCTGTGATTTCTGCGGTGAAATGCTGTTTGGCCTTGTCAGGCAGGGACTAAAATGCGAGGGCTGCGGCATGAATTACCACAAGCGGTGTGTAATTAAAGTTCCCAACAATTGCATGCAGGATCATAATCGCCGAAGACGCAGCTCAACACTCCTCAACGTACCTAGATCACCTAGCCAGGGATCAACAAGCAGTTTAACAAGCGCCAGTGACGACAATCACAGCGCAGGTACATCATCCACAACGAGTAATAATCCCACACTATCAATACCCTCGATAATAACACCGAAACAGTCGAGATCGCCATCACTGGGTGGTAGGCCAATCTGGATCGAGCGAGAAATGGCAGCGAGAATTAAAATACCCCATACATTTGTGGTACATACGTACACAAGACCGACGGTATGTGGCTACTGCAAGAAATTACTTCGAGGATTGTTCAAGCAGGGACTGCAGTGCAAGGATTGCCAGTACAACGCCCACAAGAAGTGCATTGAAAAAATTCCAAAGGACTGCACTGGAGAGAATCCTAAAGACGCTGGAGGCAATGATTACGCGGACAGTGACATTGGCAGTGAGCCAGAGAGTAGATACGATGGAAGAAATGAAGAGGGTGATGGTGACAGTGACGCTGAATCACCACCGAGAACATCACACATATCCTACGAAGAGGCTGACGATAATCACCAGGTGAATGGTGATTACAACGATCAGATACCGAGTCGTGATGATGGATCACCAGATGACACCAGAAAATCTCAGCCATCGAGTTGCAGTTCGAGTCCTAGTAATAATATTCCCCTGATGAGAATTGTCCAGAGTATAAAGCACACGAAGAGACGTGGATCGAAGGTCCTGAAGGAGGGGTGGATGGTGCACCTGACGAATCGAGATAGGCTAAAACGTCGTCACTACTGGCGTCTTGATTCAAAATCATTGATGCTCTTTCAAACTGACACTGGCTCGAAGTACTACAAGGAAATTCCTCTAGGTGAGATCCTGGGGATTGATACAGTGAGACCACACATATCATCGGAGGCCACTCACTGCTTCGAATTAAGAACAGCAAATGTCGATTATTACGTGGGTGAGGATCCCCTCAGACTCGATTCCAATGCACAATTGCCACCACCAGAGAGCGGAATTGGTGCACATCTAGCTAAATCATGGGAGACGAGTATTCGTCATGCACTGATGCCAGTGACGAATAATTCGAGTTCCAGTGAGGATCAATCGACTGAACCCGAGGAGACAATCACTGATATGTCGCAGTTGTATCAAATATTTCCTGATGAGGTCCTGGGTTCTGGACAATTTGGAATAGTCTACGGTGGGACTCATCGTAAAACGGGAAGGGCTGTTGCCATCAAGGTCATCGATAAACTACGATTTCCAACAAAACAAGAGGCACAATTGAAGAACGAAGTGGCTATTCTCCAGAATTTATCGCACAGTGGAGTTGTCAATCTCGAGAGAATGTTCGAAACACCAGAGAGAATTTTTGTTGTCATGGAGAAGCTGAAGGGCGACATGCTGGAGATGATTCTCAATTCAGAGCGCGGAAGACTCAGTGAACGCATCACCAAATTCCTGATAACCCAGATTCTCATTGCCCTTAAGCATCTGCACAGTAAAAATATTGTTCACTGCGATCTCAAGCCCGAGAATGTCCTTTTGAGCTCAAATAATGATTTCACACAGGTGAAACTCTGTGATTTTGGATTTGCCAGGATTATTGGAGAGAAGAGCTTCAGGAGAAGTGTCGTGGGTACTCCAGCCTATCTAGCACCTGAGGTGCTGAGGAATAAGGGATACAATCGATCCCTGGACATGTGGAGTGTTGGAGTAATTGTTTATGTCTCGTTGAGTGGAACATTTCCTTTTAATGAGGACGAGGACATCAATGAGCAGATCCAGAATGCAGGATTCATGTATCCACCCAATCCGTGGAAGGATATATCAGGTGATGCTATTGATTTGATAAATAATTTACTGCAGGTGAAACAGAGAAAGAGATTCACTGTTGATAAGAGTCTGGCCCATGTGTGGCTTCAGGATTATCAGACGTGGTGTGATCTCAGACAGCTCGAGGCACAAGTTGGGTGTCGATATTTGACCCATGAGAGTGATGATGCACGGTGGATGGCTCATGAGCATCAACAGACATGACACGATTATCTACCGAGAATCAACGAATCTTCATCGTTTCCTTTTCATAAGGGATGGGCGAGATCTGCACGAGCCACTCTGCGACGATTTATTCGTGCCTGAAGAAAAAAAATTATTTACCAGTAATTATGGAATTACTCCCTAATTTTCTGCTGGCATATCACTGGAATTTATGTTTAGAATCAGCGAGGACATCATTTCGGGCAGAAAGTTTATGAAGGCCTGTAGATATTTTTTTTTATTATCGAGTTTTAGAATTCTCAAGGACATTCCGAGGAATCATCGCTGCTGGTGGATTGATGTAGAATAATTCAGGGGAAGGGGCTGCTGCTTGTGATGAAGATGTCTAGGTTTTATAGGTGATCGGGGAATTTTTGCAGATCGTTGGGGGATTTTTGGGTAAATCTTAGATTACTATGGTATTTTGTCGGTGAATTAGAGAAATTCATTGAATCGCTTCTTTACATTTTATGCTTGTGGGAAAAGGAGTCAGTAGGTTTAGAATCCTTGAATTCTTCGGGGAAAATTCAATGCTATCGATGACCAGTGACTGGCGGTTACCTATCCAAATAATAAAACGACTCAAAATATTACAGCTTAAAATATTCCAACAAAAAATACATTATTTCGAGGCATGGCATGAACAAGGCAAAAAAGATAATGAATTCTCATGATTGGTAGATAATTGTCAATTACCCTCGAAATTTTACTCGCTACAACCCCTCAATATACCAATAATTTATAAATATTTCAAATGATAATATAACGTTTAAGGGATTTTCCTTAAGAAATAATAATATTACGATATCGTAATATCTCGACTTGTAATATTTTTCGGGCTAATATTTTTCGAAATAATATATTCACATTATAATATTTTGATTTGTCATATTTTGAGGGGTAATATTATTACTGAATGAAATTTACAGCGGCCACCGTTTCTATTTATATTTTATTTAATGAACAATTTTATTTTAATGACAAATAATTTTTTAATGCATTTCTAAAGTTGCAGTACTGCGAGTACTGAGTCATTGACAGTAATTGCTTTAATTGGTGAAATTATCCGGAATAATTTCATGGCAGTTGCACAGAGAAATAGATTATTAGATATTTGGATAATAAGTAGTTGCCAAACGGTGAATTCTAAATGATCAGATTAAAGAGCAAATCCAGTAGCGAAGTGTTCAAGATTACTCAATTAATTTATAATGATATCGTAGAGTTCTAGAGGTATAGATGTAAATTTTCAAGGTCTCGATGTTCTTCCGCTCCAATATTGTTGAAATTTCGTTTTGTTTTCAGATATATTTTTAAATAATCTGTATCAATGAGTAATTGCAGATTTTAGAGAGCGTTGAGAGATATTTTAATTGCTGATGAATCGTTATTGTTCCAACGTATCCGTATTGTAAATTAATGATCGTAATTTTTCGATAATGCAATTTTTTACATGTGAAATGGGGTAGAGGGAAAAATTGCTGATGAACGTAATGATGAGAAGAATTATTAATGTAAAATTTATCAAATTGCATTCCAGATTTTGTTGATTCATTCCTCAATAGTTTAATGAGACAATATTTGAATAGAATATTAAAATTAAAGCTCAATTCAGTTGAGGAGGAACTGAAATCATTAATTCAGCTCATATCACGTTGAATTATTCATTTACAATCTTTAATTATCACGTAATAATGAAGAGAATTAATGGTCCGAGTAATTTTAATGTGTACCAAATAACAAATTATCTTTATGGCATTTATGATTAATTAATTTTAATCAATGAATTTTTTTAGACAATTTTGACTGGTTGTGGGATCTGATAATATTATTTTATACTTTTTATTACATTATTTTTATTATTACGCTTCAAGAGAATTATTACTCAATGCTATTGCATACGCAATTGATAAGAGATTATTCATGAAAAATGGGAGGAAATTATTGATATCCGGGGCGGGTCATTTGATACATGAAAATTATGAAATCAGAATGAAAAATGCTTTTCTGTTCGGCAAATAATTATTCTCAATTAATTATTTTAATTAGGGGATGCTGGGGTAATATGGAGAGCCATTAAAAATTATTGCACCCCTATATTCGTGTGTACATCATCGAATGGGATTAAATTATATATTATTATTGCATTATTTCGATTACATTTGTTATAAAATTTGTACCTTTCGGCGTAATCGTCCCAATCGATTTCGTAAATTCATCTTGAATACTCCCGCGCCCTTGTTTCGAAACTTAATACTCTCCAATCATAACCGATTATCAATAAATAATTACTAAAAACAATTTCTGCGTTTTATTGCAATTACATTGGAAAATTCAATTAATCTCTCCCACTGATTTTCTTCCACAGGAAATATTTTTAGTTAAAATTTTTCATTTTATTAAAACATCTCTGGTTTTACTAGCTGTTAAATAATTGTTTTTTTAACAACATATTCTAGTTTCCTCCCACCTTCACCCACAAAAATTACAGCTGGCGTAAATAATTACTGCTCTCCAAATGCGTCCTTCTGTGTCCCAGTAATTCGGTCACCAGTCGAAATATTTTTTTTCTCAAGTTGACACTCATCAGAAAACGCAGAGAAGAATGAAAAATAAATTGTTTATAACAATAAAAAAATCGACAAGTGATCACCGAGTGACTAATTCCAAATAAACACAATCCTTCCTCAAAACAATTATGTTTATTAAAAATATTCGAATAACAACATCAATAATCATTCAATTATTTTGTTTAACAACAAGTGAATGGATCGACATCCCAGAATTTTCGGATACTTCGAGGATTTATAGACTTCCATTCAATAAACACGAGAGAAATAAATTGACAGACGGACAAATCGGTTTTGCAAATTTTTATAATGCAAAAGTAACGACGGAAAATCCCTTCTTGGAAATCATGACAACTGATCGAGTGATGGAACCCCAGCTGATGATTGACAGGAACGATTTTACGACTCCAGTTAATGGGGATGAGGATGGGGTCGTCACCGACGGATCCGATGCAGATGGAAGTGATGAGGAAATGCCGAAAGCCCCAGGAGTCACCGATCGAGGAGATGTCCTCTATTATTTACCAATGGAATTATTCAATCAAGTCCACAAGACACTTCTGCAAAATAAACACTCCAGCATAAAAGAAAAAATTGATTTCTTGAAGAATTTTAAACAATCACTCCTGAAAAATATAGGTATTCACCATCTCCATTTATTCATTACACTAATTGTAATAATTGTAATCAATCTGCAGTTGAAAAATATTTTTCTTCGATTTTTCATTTGATTGAATTTAATTTCTGTTTTCAATAGCTAGAAAAAAATTATGGAATGCCTTATTATGGTTTATTTAATTAGAAATTGAAATTTTTGTCATTTGTGGAAATGGTGGGATTTTATTAATGAATTTTTATTGCAGAATCGAGACTCGATGGAATCGTTAATTCTCCGAGAGTAAAAAGGGGATCTGAATGGGAAGATGATCATGTCGGATTTCCTTCCCTGGAAGGCGCATTACTCGCTATATCTTTCCTCACATTTTCCGTTTATCTCGTGCAATTAGTAATGGTAAATGAGAAAAATAAAATAAAATGGTGAATTTGAGAGTTGTTCAGGGGCGAATGAAATATTTTCACGAAAAATCTCTCGCGCAATAAATAACAATTATTAATATTTTCCAGATGTTATTCAGGAATTTGGCAAACAATCCACCTGCAATAAATACAATATTAGTGAACAGAAACAAGCGATCAGCTGATATAACCGATGAGACAGCGAGAATTCTCAATTATCTCGAGGAGTTCTCGAGAAATAAATTAAAAAATTAATCAGTGAATGTAAAACTGGTAAATAAATCTTGATAATGTCATCCCCACTATTCTCCCTCCCCTCCACATGATAAAGAAAAAAGACGAAAAGTTGTCTTGAAAGGTGTCAGATGCTTTCACTTTGGACTCGAATTATTTTTCAATTCAATTCGAAAACTATCGATCGAATCGATAATAATTATTGATCGATTTATCAATTACTGTCTGTGAATCGTCTGTGGAATTCTCGGAGCAAAATCCATTCGCCAAACAATGGATTACAACAGGATTGACAGCATTTCAAGGTCACAACATCCGAATAAACAATTGACTGATGTACAATATGGAACAGCTGGTTTTAGGGCGAAGTAAGAATATTTTGTTAGTGTTTTCAACGAGACACTAATGGTTTGTTGGTTATGAGAACATTTCTATTGTTATTGACAGTTTGACGGATATTTTTACGTTTTGCGCGTGAATTATAAAAATTGAATCGAAAAAGCAAAATTAATGCAACAAAGGACTAGAATTCATTCCCATTTTTTCTAACAATAAAATTCTTCCAGATCAGACCTTCTGGATCACGTTCTCTACCGGATGGGAATCCTGACAGTTCTACGATCGAAGCAAAAAAATGCAACAATCGGCCTGATGATAACAGCAAGCCACAACGAAGAGCCAGATAATGGAGTAAAACTCGTCGATCCAGCTGGTGAGATGCTGGATTCCTCCTGGGAGTTGATTGCAACAGAATTGGCGAATATTCCAGACTCAGAGCTAGTGAATGCCCTAAAAAAAATTATCAAAGACGAAAACATTAACGAGGACTCACCATCAAGTGTAATAATAGGGAGAGATACTCGGGAAAGTGGCTGGTCCCTTTCCAGAGCTGCAATTGATGGTATAAACGCAGCTGATGGCATCATCCAGGATTTTGGCATCATCACGACACCTCAGCTGCATTATTTGGTCGTCTGCTCCAACACCAATGGATCCTACGGTGAACCAACTGTCGAGGGATATCTTTTAAAACTTGTAAATGCCCTTTTAAGTATCAAGAAAGCCAAGAACAATGATCTATATGTGGGAGAGATTTATCTGGACGCTGCCAATGGAGTTGGGGCAATTGCTGCTAAAGAATTCCAGGAAATTCTCCATGACAATTTGAGTATTCGAATTTTTAATGACGGAAATGGACCCCTGAACCACAAGGTTATTAATTATTCATCAATCATTATTAATGATTAATTAATTAGAAGTAATTATTATTTACAGTGCGGTGCTGATTACGTAAAAGTTCAACAATGCCCTCCCATCAACAGTCCAGGAAAATCTTTGACGAGGTGCGTAAGCATCGATGGAGATGCTGACAGAGTGATCTATTATTATCTAGATGACAGTGATAAGTTTCACCTGCTGGATGGAGACAGGATAGCGACCTTGATAGCCAGTTACCTCAAGGAACTCGTGGAGGAGAGCGAATTGAAAATTCAACTGGGACTAGTCCAGACAGCTTATGCCAATGGGGCTTCAACGACTTACATTTCTGAATTTCTGGTGAGGTGACTCCCAATAAAATTTAATTGACAATTAAAATTACGATTAAAATTGCAATTTAACAATCAGGGAAGAATACAAATGCAAGAGCCAGAGATTTATCTTTTTCAGATTTATTCATCGGCTCCACATAATTTTCATTCATTACGAATGGTATTTTATTTATTTTAATTGTACATATCCTCCAGAAAATTCCTGTTGTCTGCACCGAGACTGGAGTTAAACACCTGCATCATAAAGCCCTGGAATTCGACGTGGGGGTGTACTTCGAGGCGAATGGCCATGGGACAGTCGTCGTCAAGGATAGCGTCCTGAAGATGATTAGGACAGCCTCCCAGAATATGAAGTGAATATTCTTCAGGATATGAAGAATGAAGAGATAAGGGAATATTCTATGGATTTATTTATCATCTTTTTTGTCTAGTCTTCCGAAGAAATGCAGGACAGCATCATCAAAGCTGACGAGTCTGATTGACGTGGTGAATCAGACAGTCGGAGATGCTCTGAGTGATATGCTCCTGGTGGAAGCAATTCTCTACGTCAGGGGGTGGGACATCGTCACCTGGGAGAGAAGCTACACAGATCTGCCCAACAGGCAATTGAAGGTCAAGGTTCAAGATAGAAATGTCATCGAGACGACTGATGCTGCGAGAAAATGTGTGTCACCTTCTGGTCTCCAAAGTAAAATCGATGAACTCGTGGCACGGTACTCGAAGGGACGAGCATTTGTTCGGTAATTATTTAATTGCGTCGTCCTCACCACCAGGAAATCGTGTGATTAATGTTTATGTTGATCATCAGGGCGTCTGGGACAGAGGATATCGTCAGGGTTTATGCAGAATGTGACAGCTCCTCGGAGGTGGAGAAATTCGCTGCTGAAGTGGCACTAGCTGTTCATCAACTTGCTGGTGGGATTGGGCCCGAACCCATCATTCCTCAGTGATATCAGGGCTTTTTTTTATTTCATATCTTGTATTTTTATGGATTTGGTATGAATAAAAATGGTGAAAATTACTGAAAACATTCTGCGATCCCAAAAAAATTGCCGATTTTTTTTTTCAGTTTAATTCACTTTTCATGGTCTAAATCAGAAATATTTTTTATGAAAAAAATTAGAAATTGTTGGATTTAGTAATTGTTTTAGTAATTATTAAACGATTCATCTAGGAATTAAGGAAATTATTGATGTTGTCTTATGGCGTCGGCATGGCAACCGATCGATTTTGAGTTTCAAGTGGTCAAGTCCCTCAGACGATTTCATTGCCAATCACACAGTTGTCATCCGTTATGACTAGAATGTGGCAGGACAGTGAAGTCAGATTTGACACATCTCTATCGTAAGTTTTTCGAAAAAAAAAATTAATGATTTCTCCCAATCAATTAATTAATAAGTTACTTTCTCAATTTTCTTGAATAATTTTTATCTGCTCGCTCCGACGACCGACGAGAATAACAATTAATTAATTAATTGATAAATTAATCGATTAATTAATTATTCCAGGGACATCCAGATGAGATGTGGAGAAGTCCTGATTGACAGACTCGACATGATTGAAGATACAAAAGGCAATGCAGGTGATCAAGGACGTCTTCTCATTTCTAATCTCCGGATAATGTGGCATTCACTGTCATTACCTCGAATTAATCTGAGTGAGTGTTTGTTTATTTAAAAAATAACGAGTGCATCTAACAGCTGAACCCCTAGGTATCGGATACAATACGATCATCAATATATCGACGAAAAATATAAATTCCGTATGTCTAAAAATTAATAACAATTTAATTCTAAATCCCCTCGAATTGAATTGAAAATTGGATAATTATTTATTATGTTGTAGATGCAGGGGGGAGTGGTCCAGGCTCTTCACATTTTAACTGCATTTAAAAATTGCAGATATGAATTTATTTTTACGAATCTCAATATCAAAAGCACTAGGCATTTCACATCGGTTATTGGAGTTCACAGGTAATTGTTTATTAATTGCGAGGCATGAGAGTAATTCAAAATTTTTTCAGGGCTTATTCGTCAACGAGAATGTACAGGGAGATTAAATTGAGGGGTGGATTTATTCAAGACAAAAGATTGACGACATTTCCGTTGGAAATTGTTAATAGCACAACTCCAGGGGTTTGGAATTTGTCCACAGAACAGGTGAATTATTAAATAATTCACTTTTTTAACTGTAAAAAATTTTTAAAAATGAAGAAATGGCTGATTTGTTTGGTTTTGCTAATTAATTGTTTTTTTTCCATTGAAAATTCTCCCGAAAAAATTCAAAAACTTCAACCATCGAAACTCTTTTAATTATTTATTCAATTTTTTATTCCAGGGTAACGTGGGAACATTCGTTGTGACGAACGTTCGTGTCGTCTGGTTCGCTGACATGAATAATCAATTCAATGTCTCATTGCCTTATTTAGTGATGACGAGTGTAAGAAAATTATAAATTGAAATAATTCTTAATAATCCTTACAAGTCCCCAAATCCCATAAAAATTTCTACACCAAAAATCAAAATAATTTCAAGTCAAAAAGTTTTTTTGACGATGAAGTGTTAGAAATATTTTTCAATCCCCAGGTGAACATCAGGTCCTCAAAATTCGGTCCAACACTAGTTCTTGTGAGTTCTGAATCGAGTGGTGGATATGTCCTGGGATTTCGCGTTGATCCCCTCCAGAAACTCCACATTTTGCACAAAGAAATCACAACATTGCGATCAGCTTTCGATAAATCTCCGATTTTCGGAGTTGAATACACGTTTGAGCACGAGGTCAACAAAATTCGACTAAAAAATTTTCAAAAAAAAAAAAAATTCTACAAGAATTCATGCATTAATGGGATATAAAAATTAATTAATATGAATCTTTTAATGATCGATAATCGATTGATTTTTAATGATATCCAGGGGATAGTAGAGCCAGACCTGAAGGAATCAGATTCAAAAGAGATTCAGGAAAATGAAGACGAGATTTCAAACGTCTTTGGATTATATTTCACGGATGATAATTCAATCCAGAGAAAGCCAGAGGTCTGTCCACATCTGGGTCTAGCCGCAGAAGAACCAAAAGAGGGAAGTTCTCTCCAAAGCCTCTGGGAGCTCCTCCCAACGACGTGACAATTCACTTCTCTAAATAAATAATCAAACAACCGAAACAAATTCATTATTTCTCCACACTCTCCATTATTTTTAGCATAAATATAATTTATTATCTAAAGCAAATGCGGTAGAAATGAATTTCACGTTCGCTGTATACGAATATTATTAATCACTATCAATAATCGAGGAACAATCTTAACAATTTTTTAATCTCACAGACTGATTTGTGTTCATTATCCACTGAATAATCGAGATGATTAATTACACTGAGAAAATAATTTTTTACTTGCATTAAAAAAAAATGTTTTGAAAATCGACGAATTGAATTAATTTTCATCATAAAAAATTCTCTAATATTGATTTTTCAGCCAGAAAATCCAAATAAATAAATTCAACTCAAAAATCATAATCTGCCACGAAAAAAAAGAAGAAATTTCAATAATTGAAATGCACGACAATAAATAAATGGGTAAATTCTCAAAGACCGAGTCCTTCTCAATGCAAATAAACAACGGAATATTCACCAGTGTAAATAATCAAAACACCTCTAACTGGTTCTGCACCCAGGTGGATGATGAAGCGGTGACGAGTCATTCTGCTCATCCCCAGAGTTCATAGGTGATTGATTAGGAAATCTGTACCCCATACTCATAATCATGAGTTCAAAAGGATCACTGTTCATTCGAATTTGATTAGCAGAAGCAGCCTCATAAATTTTCTCCACCTCCCTGTCATTGACAGTGCCATCCTCAGGCAAAGGACTCCAAAGTCTGATAACAGGATCAATTCCACTAGTAGCTAGAAGACACGTCGAGGGATGTGGCTGAAGACAATTAACAATTCTCTCATCACCACGCAAAACTCTGAGAATATTGGTGGTCTTGCGATTCCAAACAAAAAATGACCCATCATCAGACCCAGCCACAATATACTGTCCATTGCTACCAAAGAAATTCGCCTCCTTGATATCAGTGGTGGTATTGCAGTGTCCACAGAACCTCAGCTTGTAATCAACAGCTCTAGCCCTCCACTCATTCTCAAAATACGAGGTCTGATTGATATTGTACGAGCTGACAGTTCCATTATCCGACTGCGAAGCCATCGCATCCTTGATGTCCTTCTTCAGGGCTTTATGTGCGACATTTGAGTCGTACTCTGGATATTTCCGCTGAAAATCCTGAATAACCCTGAATGCCTCAGAGGGACGATGAAGATCGTTGAGACAACGTGCGAGCCTGAAGTGAGCTTTGACGTGATCAGGATCAAGGTGAAGAGTTGTCTGACAGTCTCTGAGTGCAGCATAGATATCCCCATCCCATCTTCTCTTCATGTACGTCGCTGCTCTGTTGGCATGGAGAACAGCAGCTGTTGGGCATATTTCAATTGCTCTGTTGTAGAGATTGACAGCATAAGTGTACTGGCCATTTTGAAAAGCACAATTAGCCTCCTGCTTCATCGTCTCAACATCCAGAGGCAACTCCAGCGTATTCACCAGCTTGACATCGATCTCCGAATCACCATCGAGCCCATACGCCAATCTCGTCACCTCCTCGTCATCATTATTATCACAATTTGATGATGTGTTGTCCAGGGGGAGTGTCTCATAGCTGGCAACTGTTTTGTGACTGTCAATATCAAACAGATAAATCTGCTCGCCTCCCATATTCACCAGGAGTTCGTTGCCATCATCGGAGAATGTCAGGTACGTTGTTGCAAAATTTCTCTCGCTGTATCTGACATTTGGGGATTTCAAGTGGCCAGCGATGAAGTACTGGGCGCAGCCGATGGGCAAATTGTCGTCTGATTCGAATTTTTGATTTGATCGAGAGAGATCGTTGTGTCTTGGTGCTGCATCGATGGGTATCTGTCCTAGTTTAATCATTCGTCTGTCGTATAATCTCACATAGGGATCATTGGCACCAATGGCTAGGAGCTCTGGTCTTCTTTTGTTGACAGCCATGCACTTGGCTTCTGCTTTTCTACCAGCATGATTAACGAGATTAATCAGGACACTCTTGCGATTAATTGATTTGCAATTGTGTTTTGTTCTCATATCGTACTGCAGTATCAGGCCATCCTCACCGGCACTCCAGAATACCGAAGGTACGTTCTCCAGGGTTGCTATTCTCTTGACACGACCGGTGTGACAGGTACAGACTAGAATTGTATCGGATATTGATACGTCGTGAACTCTAACTCCATTATCACCAGCTCCTGTTACCAGGAGAGAGTCGTTGGACTCTGGCATGAATTTCACGGAGAAGATGTTGCCGTTGTGGCCAGTGTGGTAGATTAATTTTTTTTGGTAACGAAATGGATCCCAGAGGATCAGGTGCATGTCGTCTGATGCTGACGCTAGAATTTCTCCAGTGGAATTCCATTCTAGACAATTTACACAGCCCTTGTGGCCTTCTAGCTCTTTCTCAAGACCCAGACGTGAAATCAGACTGTCTGCCACGTGCAGTTTACGACTTACTGTTCGCGAGAGTGACTCCTGGGGAGCAATTGGAATTGTTAGGACAATTGATTGGGGTAGTTGTCGTGGTGATAACTTACGTGGGTTTCTCTTAACCTTAACAACTCGATTAGCCTTTTTTCTCTGTCGATTCTCCTGAATGACGACTCCATGACGAATTATTTACCTTGACAGGTGATTAAATATTCAACCCTCCATCGACCTGGGGGGGGACAGAAGGGGTGATTATCCTTGAAGTAGTCGTTTGATCAATCGTTGTGAGAGGTTTTCTGATGTTTTCGGGACGTCAATTTTTTTTTGGCTTTTATTCGTGAGGGGTAATTGTACGTGATTTACCTGTTCTAATTGTTATGCATTGATTGAGACGTCATCGATGCACGTTACACGGTGCACAGGTACGAGTGTGAATAAAAATAATAGCACTTTGAAAATTTCCTCAGATTCATTGATCAATTAGTTTTTTTTTTAATTCTTCTGGAGCTTTCGTCGGAGGCACTACAACTGGAAACTTGATGTCAGAATTTTCCAGGGGGCATTTACGAGTAATTGACCAGTAAAGTGTCAAATGGCGGTCATGTTTCTGAGGGCAATAAAAAAAGAGTGACAACACTATTGTGAAGTTTTGTTGTTGCGAGATATCGATTATCGCGAATGATATTTCGATGCACATCGAATCGAAATAATCGAGACAAAAAGTATCGATTTCAGTCTGTCCTGTGCAATTTCAATTACGATTGGTTGCAATATGGCCGCAAATGTACAATCGCGCAAAAATAATTACGAAAAACCACGAGGGATTAAGAAAATTTTTAAAAATTAATCGATAATAATTTCCTGGATCGAATGAAAAAATAGTCAGACATTCTGAAATGATAATTGTTTTTTTTCACGTGCTGTTTCTTCTCGGCAAATTCATCTACCGGAATTATCGGGATGATGATCCCCCAGGGGATGATGCTGAGGAAAACCATGAGATCGAGGGCTCGACGAGCGTCGAGGTGAATCCATCGGAGAAAAAAAAACGAGTCTCGTCATACGATAATAATTTTTATGGGGAAGAGGGTGATAAAATCAGATTCTCACCACCCGCCTACATTCAGAGATACCACGCCGTTGCTACACTTCTCCAGAGAGATGAGTTCGAAGGACAAATTCGAAAAGTAAACCAATTACCAATAAATAATGAGAGGATGGGGTGATATGGACAGAAATTAAAAATAATTGCATTTTTAATTTTTCACATTATAAGAAATTAATTAAAACAATTTTGTCATTAGGTCGTGGATTTTGGATGTTCAGAGCTCGGATTTTTTCAACATTTAAAAAACACCAGAGGAATTGAAGAGATTTTGTGTGTCGACGTCGACAGAGAAACTCTGGAAAGGAATAAAAGAAAAGTAGAACCCCTCACCTGCGATTATTTGAGTACCAGAGACGTTCCATTGACCGTACATATCCTGGAGGGCAGTGTTACGGATAATGACGAGTACTTAGAAAATTGCGATGCAGTCATCTGCATTGAATTAATTGAACATTTGTATCCAGACACTTGTCTCAATCTTCCCCTCAATATTTTCGGTTTTATTCAACCGAAAGTCGCAGTGTTCACGACTCCAAACGCGGATTTCAATGTTTTATTCAAAGGAATGACTGGATTTCGACATTGGGATCACAAATTCGAATGGAGTAGAAAAGAATTTGAGGACTGGGCGAGCAACATAACGACAAGATATCCAAATTACCGAGTGGAATTCTCTGGAGTCTGCAGTGGTCCCCCAGGATCAGAGAATTTGGGGTGCTGCTCTCAAATGGCGACATTCATTCGTCAATCAGAGAAACCCCGAATACCATGTACCCCAGGTCTTTTCAAGCTGGTATCAACAGTGAAATTCCCTTATCGAATCGACAATCGTTCTTCCACTGAGAAGATCGTGGAAGAGGCCACGTATTATCTACGTCATTATTCCCTGAACAGCGGGAAGGAGTTAATGGGTCTGGAGATGTTGGCAAAATGGATAGACAGATTGTCAGTGAATACGTTGACGAATATTGTGAAGGCGGAGGGCTGGCCGGTGGTGGATGACGAGGAAATGGGCCCCTCAGTCCTCTGTCCTCCCTTGTCTGAGTATTCAGGGTGCTCTGAGGATGGTGCGGATCACTGGGGGACCGAAGAACCGTGGCAGCAGGACTGGCTAGGGAATTGTGATGCTGATGAAGAGAATTGTGATGATGATGAAGAGAATTGGGATAATGAGAGTGAATCATTTGCCGCTAGTCACCAAATAGAAGATTTTTGTGGTAATTTTCAGGAATGTGATGAAAAATTGAGGACTCCAGGGAATTCCAAAGACTCCCGAGAGTACAGGGGATGTTCTCACGATTCTGGTGATTATTTAATCGAGTCTCCGGGGAAAAGAGCGCCAGCTGTCGAATTGGAGTCATTGAATGCTGATGTCACACTCGACAGCATCTGCAGCATGTACTTTCAACCCTCTACCTGTGAAAATAATCAAAATTTTCCAAATAATGTGACGAATGAGGATTTCAATGATGAATTAGTGGGTGATTGCTCCAGTTGTCTACGAGACTCTTTTCCTGGGAATAAACCGAATTTTACTAGCACTCCAGTGCCACTGGAACGTAGGAGAATCCAAAAGCCCCAGAAAAATTCCTGTCAAAAAGAATTCTCACAATTGTCAGACACTTGCAGCTCATGCCAACAGGAAAAAAATGAGGTGATGAGAAAATTAAAAGCCAGTAATTCAAAACGGAGAAAATCTGTAAACGAGTCAAACCCGTCAATTGAAACTCCAAAGGGTTTTAGTGAGCAGGAATTTTTGTTAGAGAATACGAAAAAACCGATTTTTAATGATAAATTGGATTTTTGCAAAGTCAGGGGAAAAAATGAATCAGAAAATTCCGGGATGACGAGACCGTTATCTCTCTGTACCTCTGGTGATCTCCAAAATACTGGCAATGGAACCCTGAAGGATGATGCGGATAAAATGATGTCAGAGGCGAAAGGCAGTCCTCCGAACAGTTGGTCACCTGAAGTTATGGACTCTGGATATCCAAATACATCCTCAGCCCAGGATATTACTCCAGAGTGTGAGTTATCCAGCATTGGACAGGACAGAATATCAGAATCAGAGTCTCCAAGTCTTGCTGAACCCCCAAGGCCACTAGAGGTTCACGAAGTTGAAAATGGGGACCTGGCGAACAATAATCGCGATGGAGAGGGCAACAACGTAATTGCCCTGGGGGAGAACGAGCTTGATGACCTCCAGCCTCTCATCAATGTCCTGGAGAATGATTTGGAGAATGAAAATGATATTTATGATTTTCAGAATGGCTTTCCCTTGTGGCTTTTGAGGATTCTCGATGCTGAAGGGGCACTTCATGCTGTTAATATTCACAGGGATGAGGGATTCGACAGTTCCGATGATGAAGACAGGGAGGAAGTGGATGAAAATGAAAATATCGATGAGATTTGAGTGAGGTTGGATGGGGTCAGAGGATGTTTCAAAATAATTGAGAGAGTAGGATGAATGAATTATTACATTTTGCTATGATGTATTATATTTAATTCTGAGGCTGTGGTCGACTGTGAAGGTGAAAGCAATAGGATAAGATTTGATTCAAATATTGATGGCACAAAATGTATTGTCGAAATGTTCTTCCAAAATCTCTTTGAATCGTACAAACATAAGTTTTTTTATTTTCAATTATTCAAGGTGAGTTAGTTTTTAATATTTGATGGATTATCTTTTGTTCGAGGAATATATTCGATATAAAGTGATATAACGGGAAATAAAGTGGAAATATTATGATTCCACCCAAGACTGAAATGGCATATCTGATGACTTTGATGAGATTAATACAATAAAGTTTGGACAAATAAAGAATTCCATAAAAGTACTCGTTGTTTATTTATTTATAAGATAATACTTGAAAAATCATCAATTTTTGTGAAATTGAATTTTGGAATGAGAAATGTGTAATTATTGTGAAGAATAATGAAAAAAATGTAATGCATCACAGTTCATCTTTAGAAATTGGGCAATTGCACCGATTCTCCGGTTGCTGGACCCTCTCCATCCCTTCCAGAACTTCAACAGAATTTTCAATCCTCTCACTCCATTCCTAGAACACAAAAAATCTCAGGATTAAATTCTCATAATTCATAATTTTATAAATAATTCCAGACCTTTAACAACGACACGTAATAACAAAAAACATCTTGGGGCAGAGCAACTCTTCTCATCAATTCACGTCCTGCCCTCGCAATTTTCCTCGTCTCCTCGTCATTATTCATCGCCCACTGTATTTTCTCGACAAGATCGGAGAGGTCCGCTTTAATCGGCACGTAATGCTCGTAAGGTACTAAATGATGATAAAAGTACTCGTAGTACTTGGACTCCTGTTTAAACACCGATGAATCCCCCGCCAGGAGATAAGGGAGACGATAAGCAGCCACTGTCCCATCAATATTTAATTGATATTTATACTGTATCAAAAAGAAAATTTTAATTATCACCCTTAGAGCACATAATTAATAACAATTCCACAATAAATAATTCAGGGAGCTCTTAGAATTACTTGGCAATGTCTTATTATTATTATTTATTGGTGGAATGAGTCAATTGGAGAATGGGGAAAATGAAATTCCCAAAAACGTACGTCAAAAAAATCGAAAAATGATATCGCCTGTTGTCCCGGCCCGTATTTCGATATTTCATCTCTGAAGAAGAAGAAGTTCGTGATGGAAACGTTGAAAAGCTCCGGATGTCTTCTGGAAATTTCGATGAGCTTCAACCGCTCACGACGAGAGTCCCGACCTCGCCAAAAAATTTTTTCAATTTTTCGTTTCCATGGATTTCTAGTATTTCCTTGAACCGATAACATATCAAGCATCACCCTAGAACGAAAATATATTAATTATTTTATAATAATTCAGAATTATTCTCAAAAAATTGAATTATCGTAATTGAGAATTTCAGGGGTTGAATTCGGTTTTTTTTTTTTCGTTTAAGGGCGATTAATTAATTGTCATTGATTAATTAATAATACCTCCCCATATTTTCGAGAGATGATTCCGTGATGTCGTACGTGGGGAGAACAATATCTCTCGTATCCTCTGAGGCACACCACGAAAATATTGGATACAACGTGCCCTTGATCCCCACAAGTGGCCAGTCCCCTAAATTCATAAAGAATTCTGTATCAGGTACCACTAATTTTCGTGTTAATGACAGAAGAATTGAATCCGAGAATACTTTAAAGCCCGTGTGATCTCCGTAGCACTTTCTATAAATCTGGAGAAAAAAAAATGAAAAATGAATTGAATTTTTCCAATTTTCCCATTCAAGGAGAAGATTTAATTACTAAATAATGATACCTTATTTTTTTTAATGACGTAGTGACAGAGGCTGACACTCTGGGGCCTTGAGAATTCCTTTATTATTTTATTTCTCATCTTATCGAAATTTATTTGAGGAAATTCCCTCAAGTCGTTAGAAATTTGAGAATAATTCGATGGACATTTCGAATTATGCAGCCACTCGTGGATTGAGAGCTTTGGGCAGTCGCATTCCTCTTCATAAATGGGACCTGCAATTTTATTAATTATATATCTGAAGAATCTACAGTTTTTTAATAATTGGGAGCAATTGTTGAATTTTAAACTGACGATTCGTTTGAGGAACAGATTATTCCCTCGAGTGCAGGATAGAAAAATCGTGAGACTTTGAAAATTGAAGTACCTTCTGCATGGATCGCAGCCTTTGGAATCGTCTGATTGTTTATCGTGACAATAACGTGAAAATTGTAACAGGTTTCGTATAATCTATAACGTATGATGAAACTTCCATCTCGACAGTTCAATTTTTGCTGCCAAATTCGACAGGAATGACCCCCTGAATTTTCAGAATTAATTACCACTTTTATATCGATGTTCTTCTCTTCCACTTCAGTGATACTGAAACAATTGAACAATAATTTAAATAATTCTCTATTGTAAACGTCAAAATAATTTATCGAAAAAATTCCCTGGGAAATTGTTCAAATTTTGTCGAAAAAAAAACTGCTTTTAAAATTGACATGTTATTACTTCCGGTTTCTTTTACTAACTTATTTCCATTAGAATCCACAAGCTGCAAAAAAAAATAGCGACTTCTCATGACTATTTCGGGGAACAACCCCGGGCCCCAAACGATCGTCTTCGATGGATCGATAATTTGACCACCTGAAGTAATTGCAATTAAATTTAATGCGAGTGCTAGTACGAGACGATGCATTGTTTAGTGAAGTATTTGACAATTAATGAATAGTTTAATGAATAACAACACGAATTATTGGTGAGAATTTTTTTTTGTTTGTCTATTCATCGCCGAATTGAATTATTGATAATTATTGATTAAGGTTAATTGAGCTTGAGGGATTGTGAAAGAGAGGTTAACTGAATTTCTCGAGAGTAAATTAAAATATGGCACATCATTCCATGTATCTTCGAAAAATGCCGAGATACATGAGATAAAGATACATGAGATATTTCAGAGGTTTTTCAGTGAATTCACATTTTGGATTTTCATGATTTATTAATATAAATTTTATACATTAATTTATAAATTCTGAACAATTAAAGCAATTGATAAAATCGATGGACTCGGCTCCACTAGAACATGCGGTTATATCCTGTGAACAATAAATTCAAATTAATAATTGAATTCTCATGAATTCTTGAGGCCCGACGAATTCAAATTTTTCTCCCAGAAATTACGAAATTTCAAGTTCATGTGGATGAATTTTCAAACATGAATTTTCATTTTCAAAAAATAATATGACCTGTCAACCCTCATGGTGATTATCACAATTAAAAGTTAATAAGAATCCCCGAGCCTCAATACTTAGCAAATAAAACAGTTCATACTCTGATGTGAAGGAGCATTCATTCTGAACATAGTTTGAGGGATGAATCGAGGAGTGTAAGGAGGTCTGAATCTCGGCATCATCCCAGGTAATCTCCCCCTCACCGGTGGCAAAGGATACCTCATCATCATCATAGGGTTCATCATCATTGGCCTGACATCATAATTCTGTGAAAAAAAAAATTATTCTCTTCTACATCTCCACAAAATCCTCCGCAAATAAAAAAAATAAATTTCTTTTTACACTTACATCGTAGTACATGGGGAATGGAATGCCCTCGGAGTAGGGTAAAGCTGTTCCTCTGTCCGGTTCACTTCTGCGGTGTACCTCGTAATAATCCCTGTACCCAGACTCCCGGTGGGAATCACAATTTCGTTCTCGTTCTGGGGTACGTCGTGACCTCGAGTCCCGTCCTCTCTCTTCACTTGATCTACGAGAGCCCCGACGATTTCGTTCTTCATGATAAGAACTATCTCTGCAACAATAGGCTCACATAAACAATCCTAATTTAAACATCTCATCTTCTGATCCACTGATTTACTCACCTATTATGCGACGATGTCCTTCGATGACGTTCTGTGTACGACTTTGACACTCCATCACACCTACAATAAATATTTAATGAGCAATGGCTTCAACAGAATATTTTGCACACTCAGTATAAATAATTCGGGACTTTATTAAGTCATTAAACTGGCAATTTGCTCTGGTATATCTCATTAGAGATCATTACAGTCCCGATTTTATGTAATATCCATATTTTTTTAATTAAGCAGAATGGAATACCAATCAAAATGGTAATCGAGTAATTGAAATCGTAAAGTACAAATAATATTCCATTTTGCCGCATATATTAAAATGTATTTTCCTGAAAAATTGTAATTGCATTGATGTAAATTCCTGGAGAGACGAGAAAATTAATCGGTCACTGAGTTAAAATAATAATTGTCTAGTCAGTTTACCTTTTTCTTTTTTTGACTGAATAGTCACGAGAGTTAATGAAATATTAGGAATAAATGAGTGAATCATTAATTGAGTGGATAAAATACCAAATAATTAATTAATGATTCACTGAAAAAAGCTGGAACAGAAGGTGGGCAATGAAAATATTAATTCGTACCAATGGTTCTCCTGGATAAATGGAGGTAGAAAATGTTGAATAATTTGGATTGTAACGCGGGAATTTTGGAGATGAATAATGAGTAATAATGACAGATATACATGAGAGATTTTGGATGATACACTCACCTCCTGGGGCTGAAGGACTTGGAACGTCGGTCTGATGACCTCTTTCTCTCTGAAAAAATAAAAATTTATGAAAATCTAATGAAAATATTTGAATAGCCACCAGTGGATAATTGCATTGTCTAATAAATGAGTGAAAAACATTTAAAAAAATGAGAAATCTGATTGAAATTAATTTTGGGGTCAGGGAGTTAGGTAAAATAATTCAAATAATTTCAGTAGGAAAATTTGAGGCAAAAAAAATAATTATTTTTCACCGTTTCTGACTTTATCCACAGCAACTACTGTTCGTCGTTCAGGGACCTCAGCTCTGCTGGTTTCTTTCGCTAATTCTTCACGATCGAATATCGGCTTCGATCCTTCTCCTGGTAAAAGAAATAAATTAATAACCATAGAAATTATAATAAATACATGGGTATACCAGGATGATTGTCGAGGAGAATTCTTGACAGGAAAACTGATGCCACATTTACCCTCTAGATCAGCCCTGAGTTGTTTCTGATTTTTCTCAGAGATGCAATTGTGAATTAATCCTGAGAAAAATTCATTGAAAAAACTCAGCGCTTTTGCACTGGGGGAAAAATTGTTAAGAATATTACGATTTTTGTAATTCGAAGGGAATTATCAACATATTTTTCCTTGATACCAGACAAATAAGAAAATAATGAAAATTGATTGAAAATTTAGGATTGCAGAGCTAAAATAATAATTCGTTATAAAAAAATTGCCTCTCTATTACTTTCATCTTCAAATTGTTGATATCTTCATCATCTTCCTGTGCAGTATCTTCGAGACGTCGTCATGGAGTTCTGCAATCTTCATTACCTGTAGCTAAGATTTCTAATAAAACATCAAAATAAAAATCCATGTTTTTTTCGATTTTCTTTCATTTGTGCAGCTGTAATAAAAAATGAGGATTAAGCAATTTCAGTGCAATTCCAGTGAAATATCGGGAAATGAGTCTCTAACACCAGATTATTTCGATTTATGGGTAAATCAAGAAGTAACAGGTGTGAGTCATCATTTCATGTGTTTATGATTGCAGCTGTAGCTGGGCATTCGGAATCTCCGGATTGCAATGAAATATTTCCACAGCATCGACAGAGACTCGACAAAAGCCCTAGCTTCCATACCTCATCATCTCATATATCCATATTTTTTTATTTCAATTAATTACCTGTAATTTAGTAGGATAATTCAGAAATAAATAATTTACCTCGATAATCGTGATGGACTTCGGTGTTTGGATCTCTCTGAACTCTGAGATCTGGATCGCTGTTTTGATTTTCTTCTTTCATCTGCAGATCATCAAAAAAAAATAATTAAAACTCTCAATATTTCGAATAGTGAATTTTTTATGCAGTAATTATTCATTTATCATTGATACAAAAAATCTCACCAGTATGACTTTCGTCCATGACAATTGTTCGTCGCTCTGGAATATCATGGGTGCATATTTCGTTTGCTATTATCTCTTCACGCTCAAAAATGGGCTTTGATCCTTCCCCTGGAGCAAATCGAATTGATAAAATTGGAAAATGATAATCCATTGAGTAAAAGTCAATATTTCTTATTAAATTAATTATAATAATTAAGAATCGATGTACTTTACCGTGACGATAATAATTACTCTTCAGGATGCGATCGCCGCGGCAATTTTCGATGGTGAGACTTTTGTAAATTTATCTTTGTCGTAAAAAATGCATTAAATTCTCCCGAATTTATTTACGATTCGTTAAAAATTTTGAAGAGTCAGTTCTATTCATTGATTATCTGATTTTCCAAATGTGAATATTTTATGATTAATTCTTTATGAATAATTTATTTAAAATTAAACATGATCTTCATGAAGTCTTCAGTGGAGATTCCGATGGGATTATTTTCTTCACAGCATTACAAATTTTTTGTATCACTACGTAATCCACTTCGATTTATTATGAATTGCACGAAACCGCTCGATTCAATTGACGAAAGATAAAAACACAATGAAACATTACCTTCTCTTCTTTTGAGGGCGATTTCGTCAGGATTAGTAATATCCCTCAACAACTCAGTGGTCTCTTCAGCGTTTGGAATATTCCGGTGAATATTAACTTTAATTGTTTTAAGCTCACTAACACTAATTTTACTTCCCTCCCGGCCCTTAAACAGTGGAGCATTAGACGTTGACGATGAATCACACCTAAAATTGTGAAAATTGTTAATACAAATCGACGAATAAAAAAGATGAGAATGAAAAACGAGACTGATGTTATAAAAATAAAATGATTAATGCCAACTTCTCAGACATAACAGGAACTCTGCTGCTAGTTAAACGACTTCTACTTGTCTCACGAGATCTACTTCTTCGACGTCTGCTGGTACTCGGTGATCCTGATCTTGACCTTGACTTTGATCTTCTACGTTGTTTCTTCGCTTCGAGTTCTCTTGCTCTTCTCGCCTCGTACTCTTCAATCATCTTCATTTTGCGTCTCTCGTGCTCTCGTTGTTTCTCCTGCTCGATTCTCCACTCTTTCCTCCTCCTCTCCAACTCCCTCAATCTGTCCTCGGGTACGTGATCCAAGGAAGACCTAGAGTCTCTTGATTTGTCGTCCCTTCGTCGCATTTTTACTGGAAACAAAAAACAATTTTTGTGGATTAAACAAAAAAGATGGAATTTTGGATTTGAATGAGAGAAAAAAAAGATAATTCTCCATTTGTCTGAGAATATGGAAATTTGCACAGGCTAACCTCTCACTTATTTATGTATCCCGTATGTACACGGTAAATTGTTAAATAAAAAATAAAAACTCATACCTCTGGAGTAGCTAAAACGAATAATAACTTTTGAGATAATAAAATCGTTGTGAATAAGACTGCATGCAGGGTAAAACGTCAATTACAATTGAAGCAATAATGCCGGACACTTGTGGAACGCCAGTAAATGCCAATGGGTAATTGAAGCGTCATGAAGCGTCATGAAGCATCATGAAGTGGTGCCGCAGAGTGCGCATGCGCACAGCATCGCTTACACAGGCGCAGTTTTGGGGGTTGGAGTGACCCCCTGGGGTGTCCATCAAGTCGAGGGGGTGAATTTTATTTTTTGCGACATGAATGCTCCTTGTTTTTCGTTTATTTAACTTAAATTTAACCGCCTGTAGAACGAGCAAAAGGGGACGCCACATTTTGTGCAATTTCAATGAAATAAATTATTCAATGTATTGAATATATACCACTAATGAATTTATATTTTTAAATCTGCGCGTTGTCCTAGCGGTAACGTGCTCGACTGTCACGCCGGCGGCCCGGGTTCAAGCCCGGCATCATTCATTTTTTTTTTTAAATAATTGCTATTTTTTTTTGTTTTTTTTTATGGCTAATTAATGGAAATATTGTTTAAAAACTGAATATTTGATAATCGAGAAGATATCCAGTGAAATTGAGAAATTAACAATTTTTTAAAACAATACTTTTGCA